TTTAGATAGTTGGTATCACAGTCATTGGTTTGTTAAAGAAGAAAAAAATGATTTTCTTTGGTGTTAAAACAAAATTTATTGCCAGAAAAGTCTAGTAAGTACTAGAAAAATCATAAAAATATTATAACCAATATGCAAAATATATTTTACTGGTTTTTGCAAATAAAACTGACCGTGAAACTATTATTTATGCACGTATCAACAAAAAGAAAATGTTTTTTAGAATTAATAATATTTTTTTATTTAACTAAAATCGATAATTTAATTTAAAATACTACCTACTATTTAAAAAAAATATATTGGTTTTATTGAACTCCAAATTACAAAAATGTATACAAAAATAAGTAATTCGTTTATCGTATTAAACATACAATATTAAAAGAAAAACCGTTTTTTTATTCGGAACTCTCTAAAAATACATTTTTGCAATAAAACTTTTTTTAAATAATTAAATTTTGTAAAAAAACAGATGGACGAACAACAAAACATGTTGCTTGATGAAGGACATTTGTACACAATTTGTTGGAAACAATAAGATTTTATATTTAACTATTTGCGCAATATTGCCAAGAAAAGAGTTGAAATCTGTTGTTAAAAATATTTCAAAAATAAATGTTACTCTTTCGTACAATTTTTTAAATAATTCGTATAAATATAGTATAACTTTGAGTTAGAATATGAATTTTACAATATTGGACAATTTGTTCGGGAGTGAAGCATCAAACCACCTAAGATAACCAATGAAATGATTTCCTGCATGCTTGAAATAAGACGCCGGCCGGTCGCTCAATTGCAATCTGCATCATCAGTTTGCAGTTTTAGTTAGTGTTAGGAAGTGTATCATTGTGAAGTTAGTACCACATTTCTGGTGAGTAATTATTGAATATTATTTTTCCGAATGGGTGGGTAGGTATTTGCAAAATTGTTGAGGGGCTGGGATAAATCAATAATTATGACATGGTGATCAAATGAGGATAAAAAGTATTTCTATGTTCCTACTGTGCTACATTATTGATCAGCTTAGGTACTATTTACTTTAGTTTGTAATTTATGTTTATTTTATGTTTTCAGTTTATATTCTTTGGGTGTCATCGTAACGAACATTATTAATAATTTTAGTTTATAATAATTTATTTATTTTTACTGTAAACTTTGTTAAAGTAGGTTTTTACAATTATTTGTTAAGTTTGCACTTTTTTATAATTTTGTACTATAATTGGATTTTGTAATCTGTTGGGCAAATAAATATATATTATTATTATTATTATAAGTATTATTTTTATTATTATTATTATTATATTAAGTTAATTTTACCCTCACAACTAGGGTTGGGAAAATTTCACTTTTTGCTTATACTTGAAATTTCACTTGAAATTTTCATGACATTTATGAAATTATTAAAATTTCCTAAATTTCTGAAACTTCATGAAATTTTTGAACTTTCAATAAATTTCAATCACTTTAAGTGTAATATATTAATATTGAAATATATATAAATATTGAAATAAGCCCACTCGGGGACCATGCATGGAGGTAAGAGAGGCAATTTGCCATGGCAAATTGCCTCTCTTACCTCCTACCCCTCTGTGGGCCCCTGACCACCAATAATATAAATAGTAAATACCTATGTTTACCACAAATTTCTTGAGATTTCCTTTTAAAATATTTTTAAAATTACTAAAACTAAAAGAGATATAGCACTTTTTGGTAAGCTAAAGAGATTGTGCCACTTTCATTGTTTTATATTTATATATATTTATTATTTTTATGTATTTTACTGAAATTTTACGAAAATTGAAGAAACTTCATCAAAACTTTATGAGCAAAAGGCATTTTTTATCCGTTTTCCAATGCAATTATAAAAATTATTTAAATTAATGTATGCATATTAGTAACAATAATTACTTATAGTGTATTCAAATCCAAGCCGAACTAAACAAAAACGCCCGGACGCTTGATAACTGGTTCTTATTGGTCGATTCGGAATCTGTTGTAAATTATTATTAAAGGTCCCAGGGGAGGCCGCATGTGAAATTTATGCAAAATTTTCAGTAAATTACGAAACTTTTAATGAAATTTCTGAAACTTTCACAGGCAATGTTGAAATTTTCGGATTGAAAATTTCACTTGAAATTTTTAAAATTTCACTTTTCCAACTAAATGAAATATTTCCAGTTTGAAACTTTCAAAGTTGAAATTTTCATTTGAAAATTTCAACTGTCCCAACCCTACTCAAAACATTCTTTTGTTGTTCGCTGAATACATATTTAGTCTGTCGACATTTGTACTATTACAATGTGCCATGTGCCGATTATATTAAAATATACCTTAGAAAATTCAAGAACTCAACTCCTGAACCGTTTTAAAAAGTTCTACAAGAGTTTGACAATTTTTTTATCAAATTTTATTGTTTTATTTATATTACACCTTTTTTGACTCTAACTTGCAATTTCGTGATCGGATTTTTTTAACTTCAATGGATCAGAAATTGAATCCTTTGAATGCATGTATAGTAGGTATATAGGGTGTTTAACACTGTATTTGTACTTTGCTTATGATCATATTACTATAACTCAAAAGTTATTAAGGGTGTCCAATATTTAACCGAAAGCTCTGTATAAAGAGTTGCAATAAAAATAAGTTACACGGCAATAAAAAGAAGATTCGGTTACAGTAAATAACCAAGGCATATGTTTGTGTGCATAAAACTCCCCAATTAGTGCTACCGTACACATTCAACCTGTCTTGACACCCCATAAACAATCTTAATCTTCCCTGCTGAGAGGGGCAAATTCCCACGCACCCGTCTAGACATACCTATATATATATATATATATATATATATACACACATATAAGGGATGTTCTGGACACGTTTCTCTTTTTAACGGGTTTCCATAAATTTCGAGCCGATCAGTAGGTGACAGCGCCACATTTATTCTGGTTCACGATTTTTTTCCAAATTTCACATGTGTTCCGTATACTCGGCCGTAAAAAATAATCCGACAACTCCTGTTCTTTTTTATTGCTCGACTCTCGAAAGCGGGTGTCGACTAGCATACGATGATATAATTCGGTATTTTTATGCCCCGCGTACGGTGGTCGTTGCGTAATATGGTTTAACAAGTTCAGGATTGTTTATTGGGAAGTAGCGTGACCTACTTAAACAATTATTGTTTAAGCTTGTCACAACAAGAAAGTTGCTTCCTTTACATAAAAATTGAATTCTGTGGGTTTCACTTGAAGATTTTACTTTGATACTACAATTCATTTTTTTTATTAAGCTTATCCCTGATAGCACACTTTATTCTAAGAATCCAGTGAGAATATTCTTAGGATCATGCTATATTTCTTCTAAAGAACATGCTTAAAAGACATACAGCATGATCCTAAGAATATTCTTACTGGCGTTTAGGCAGGTTCTTAGAAGGTGCAAAGTTTTAGTGGTAAAAATTAGTCTACTCTAAACATATGCTTAGAATGTTAAGAAAGTAATTGCTATAGAAAGTTCATTTAGGAATATTCCTGTTAAGCATATTTAGTTTAAGTAAAAAACACAATCCAAAATATTTTTTTTATAGTTATTTGTCAAATTAAAACAATATTCGATAACAAAAATACTTTTACTTTAGGTATTTTATTTTATGTTAAAAATAAATATTTATTAATTTGTATACCGATTTTTTATTTCTGAATTAACATTTTTATGTATAATATTCCTAACTATCTTCAACTTCAATCTAATCTGACTTATCCCACAAAATTTTCCAATTTTACTTTTTATGAAATAATGTCGTACAACTTATGGTTTAGAGGTCAAATTTTTTATTTAATATTTTTAAATAAATATATATTAATATGTCGCAAAATTTTTTAAGGGGACGAAAAATACATTTTACTGTCATATTATGACAGTGAGGCGTATTTGTCTTCTCCTGAAGAATTTTACGAATGTAGAATACAACGTATTAAAACGTGGGTATCTGACATATTTGGAAATATTCTCAAAAGCTTCCTAGAAGCTTCATAAGAAACCTTCTAAGAACATTTCAAAAACGTATTCTTAAAATGTTCTTAGGATGCTTTTCAGGAAGGTTTTAAGAAGCTTTTAAAAATCTAATTGCATCATTAAAAGGGTATCTACTGAATATATGTCCCTAAGAACATTCTTAGCAATAAGGGAAGGTTCTAAGAATATTCCATTATTCCGGGTCAAATGCAACCAGCTTGGTTCCGTGTTTACCAAACAAACTAACATTGTCGCAGTCCAGATAAAGAAAAATGAACTTTAGGTCAAACACAACACAAAATAAAAATGCAATATTTACCTTTTGTCCAAATAAATAAATTTGTTAGAAATTGGCAGTGTCAATTTGAATGTCATGGTCAAATTTAAAAAACATCAAGCCAGCAAAACTAATGCTTTTATTAAGAAAACTCGTCTTTGATAGCTATTGGTAACGGTTGTTTATTTGTAAAATTCGTTTTAAAAACGCGGACAATGATTCTTTAACATCATCCTTAAGTGACAAAATCTGGTCGAGTAAAATCTGGAGATTTAGCTGGCCAATCCAGACCTCCTTTTGAACCAAACCATTGTCCAAAACCTCTTTAACACATTGGTTTCAACAATATCGACCAAAAACTGATGTACTACAAAAATCCTTTTTTAATTCGCTACGTGAATCTACTGGAGAATATTTTTAAGGAGATAACATATTATGATGTAGACGAATAAAAAATACATTCCTCACAAAACAGTTATTCATTTATTTTTTGAACAGCCCTCGTAGATCCACCTTACAGAAACATGTGTCGTGTTATTTAACCCCAATCATATGTCATCATTAATATTTTCAGTTTCAGTTTCTTATTCTCGTAAACTTCAGCCGCTGAAAGCGAGGCCCGAAGTTAGCCGAAGACAACCGAGCGTTAATCCTTAGGGCACTTAAAATATGACTTAAAGAATGACATCTCATTCAAAATTAGGTTGTTAACGCATGAGCTTTGGTTTTTAGTTTTTGGTTGATTTAGAGGGACGAACTTAGACTTGATGTGTTGTGATTCAATCAATTAAGTGAATGAAGGATTTTTAATTTTTGAAAGGTAAATAAATATTTTTTTTGTATACAGGGTGTGATAGTGTTGCCAATGGGAAAAACTTTTTTATTATGCTTTTTACGAAAAAATGTCAAATTTCAGCTTTTTTAAAAAATGGGATTCTGTTAAAAAATATAAATTGCTTTAATTTATTTATTATTTTATATACAAATTTTATGATAGAGAATCGTTGACAATTCATATTTAAGTCTAAATACGAAATTCTTATTGTAACATTTGAATAAATAATAAAAAAGTAATAAATAAATAAAATTCTTAAAATATTTGTTTAAATAGGACACCCTGTATATTTTTACATGTTTTCAGAGGCAATTTAATTTTTAAGTTTAGGGTGGTTATGCAATAATAATTTTTTGTAATAATTCAAAATATACAGGGTATCCCATGTAAAAAAAAATATATTTTTTTAATATTTCACCAATTTATTTTATATGTCATGAAAAGCCATATTCACTGTTTTTATAAATTATTATTATTATTGTCATTATTATTATTATCATCATTATTTTTATTAAGTGTTTCACACATATCGCAAGCAGCATTTTACTAAAAGGCAATATTACTTAATTTAAGTAAATATTTTGTTAAATTAACCTTAAAAATTTTCTTTGAAGTAAAACTTTTTTTAAAGTTATTTAATAAGTTTTATCATATATTATATCAAGAGAACTATGAATTTAATATTAAATTTAATATTAAATTCATAGTTAACCGATATCGGTTAAACTAGGCTCAGTAGTTTTTTGTTTGTATTTTCTTGGAAAACGTTGAATGCCAAATAATTTAATAAAATCACGAGACCGCGTAGCGGTCGAGGGGTTTTATTTTTAATTATTTTGCATAAAACTATTTTCCAAAAAGAAAAATCAAATAAAAAACTTACTGAGCATAGTTTGACAGATTAAATTTATAGGTTGAGTGATATACGTCTAGATTATTTCTCGAATTAAAGGAAACTATTTGACAATTCATAAAATCTGACGTATGTGTCAAAATTTATAAATAATTTTTTAAAGAAAATTCCATTAATTTAAGGTATGTAATAAGTAATAATTGAAATTTCGTAAACTAGATATTTTATTTTTTATTGTTTTTTAAAAAATGTTTGTTAAAACTTGTAAATAACACCATAAAATCGTAAACAAAAATCCAATATGGAGGCTAAAATTTAATCGCTGTTATATTTAACACTGTTCTAGTGATTTAATCGCTTATTTAAACGAAATTTATTCGAAAATTCAAGGCTTTTGATTGGTTCATATTATAATGAAGGATATAATCTATGTTATTTTTTACATATTTTAATAATTATTAAAGGGTTAATAATTATTAAGGGTTAACCCTTAAGTTTCAACACTTTAAAGTATTCAGGGACGTAATTTTTACGAAAGAAAATTAGTGTATTTCACCTAAAGAAAAATTTAACGGTAATTTTAACGTCAGAATTTTTACTTAATGGTAAATGTTACTCATAAGTCATAATTTTGCGATATTAAGACCACTTTATAACCGTAAATAATTCCTATTCGCCTGGTATTTCTTAGGGTTATTAGTGGTAAAAAATACTATTAATATTGACTAAATAAATAATAAGAATAGGCTTAATGTAAAAAATAAAACTTTAAGGGAAATTTTTTTTCTGGTCGCCATGGCATCCATTACTTATCTAAACATTTATATAAGTTTTATTTATTAAAAAATGATTAAAACTAAATGATTTTTAAAAAGTTTTATAAAATTTTGTAGGTTTTAAGTTTTGTTAAATTTTTCTTTTTCTTAAAACGAGCAAACAGTAATTATAGCGTTATTTTTACGTAAATTTGTGGTATTTATATTGTTTTTATTACGTTATTCTCTTAGTAGATCAAAAAGGTTATTATGTAGGTAAAATAACGAAATAAGCCATTTCCCAAATTGGGTAATTTTTCCTATCTATACCGTTATAAAACCGTTTTGGTTAACCGTAAAAAATACTTTAAAGTTGACTTGGTAGTAAATTTGTAGTTATTTAAACTTAAATTGCTAGTAAATATTAGTGTGATTATTTCCCTCATTATAATATGAACCAATCAAAAGCCTTGAATACTGTTGTCTAGAATTAGCAACACCTTTGGCACATATAATAAATAATTCGCTGATGCATGGTATATTCCCTGAAAGGTTAAAGGAAGCGATAATACATCCAGTTTTTAAGAAAGGAGACATTTCGATGATTGAAAATTACAGGCCCGTTAGCTTACTACCTGCATTCTCAAAAGTATTTGAAAGAGCGATGTGCACCCGTTTAATTGGTTTCTTTGACAAGTGTAAACTCTTTAATCAAGGACAACATTACTACAGAAAAGGAAAATCCGTGGAAACTGCATTGTACGACTATCTCAACAAGATACTGGAGTGTTTAGAAAATAAGGATGTAGCAATAGGAATATTTTTGGATCTCACTAAAGCTTTTGATAGTCTAAACTACAAAATCCTCTTCGATAAGCTGGAAATATATGGAGTTAGAGGACAGGCATTAAGATGGATTATGTCTTATTTATCAAATCGTTCGCAGAGAGTAGCCATATACAAGGATAGTAAAAAACACTTGTCAGAGAAACGACAGTTAAAATTGGGAATACCTCAAGGAAGTGTTATTGGTCCATTGTTGTTCATAATCTACATAAATGACATGGACAGTATCATAAAATCGCCTGATACATCTATGGTGAATTTCGCGGATGACTCGACACTTTTAATCAAGTCGGGAAATTTAGACCAGGCAGAGGCCCAGATCAATACGTTTATGTCCGACATAGACATTTATATGTGCCAAAATGAATTGATATTAAATAACAACAAAACCCATTATGTAGTTTTTAAAACACTAAGATCAAATGTAGTTAAGCCGAACAACTGTAATTTTGTAGATTGTGTAAAAATGTTAGGAATTTATGTAGATGAGTATTTGTGCTGGGATGTACATATCGAAAACCTGTTGCCAAAACTTAATAGAGTGTGTTACTCGCTGAGAATTTTAAAAATGTATGTAAATATGGAAACCATGAAAATGGTTTATTTTAGTAATTTTCAAAGCTTATTAAGATTTGGACTTATATTTTGGGGAAAAGCCAGAAATATTGAGTTGGTCTTCAAAGCTCAAAAAAGAGCTTTAAGATTATTGCTTGGTATTCCATATAGGGAAACATGTAGGACACACTTTAAAAGAAATAGGATCCTCACGCTACCTGGCTTATATATATTTGAACTAGTAATGTTTCTATTTAAAAATTACAGCAAATTTTGTCACCTAGATCCAAAGTCTAGTCGTAATGTTTATTTACTGAACCCCAGTCATAGGCTAACTATATTTGAAAAAAGCTGTCAGTACTCGGCCATTAAATTTTACAATAAATTACCTGATAGTATAAAAAAAACTACAGAAAAAAGCTTTAAACCTAAATTGTTTGATTATATCTGTGATAAAGAATTGTATAGTATTTCTGAGTTTTGAACCGATTCATTTGTAGTTTGTTGACTTCTTTTCTATTTACATTGTATAGTTATATATGTATATATATGTATGTATTTATTGTACAGTGATATTTCTGAAAATAAATTATTATTATTATTATTATTATTTTCGAATAAATTTCGTTTAAATAAGCGATTAAATCACTAGAACTATTTAACTGCGATTAAATTTTAGCCTCCATATTGGATTTTTGTTTACTATTTTATGGTGATATTTACAAGTTTTAACAAACATTTTTTAAAAAACAATAATAAATAAGTTATCTAGTTTACGAAATATCAATTATTACTTATTACATACCTTAAATTAATGGAATTTTCTTTAAAAAAATATTTATAAATTTTGACACATACGTCAGATTTTATGAATTGTCAAATAGTTTCCTTTAATTCGAGAAATAATCTAGACGTATATCACTCAACCTATAAATTTAATCTGCCAAACTATGCTCAGTAAGTTTTTTATTTGATTTTTCTTTTTGGAAAATAGTTTCGTGCAAAATAATTAAAAATAAAACCCCTCGACCGCTACGCGGTCTCGTGATTTTATTAAATTATTTTGCATTCAACATTTTCCAAGGAAAACCAAACAAAAAACTACTGAGCCTAGTTTAACCGATTAAATTCATAGTTCTCGTGATATAATATATGATTATAATAAGTGATTTACCAATCAAACCATAGCATTCTTTGATTGGTAGAAATTAAAAAATTTACAACTTGGTTTTTCAGATGCTGTTAAAAACATTCGAAATGACGGAACAACTCTACAATCCAATCAACAATTTAACCCAAACTGAGCTGATGGAAAAATTCAACCTGGCCTTCTACGAAGCCCAAAACCTGTCGAAAACGGACCTCCAAACGACGCTGCAGGAAAATCTAGACACCCAAGAAAAAACGAACGACGACTTCCTCATAGACTACTTGATCTGGGACGATTACACGCCGACGAACACCCCGAATTGCCCGGACGATCTGAACTTCGATTTCAACGAATTCGTGCAAAATTTCGACCAGAATTTAAGTCAGGACGGAAGTTCCTACGTGGATAATTTTGACACGGAGACCTTCACCACTGAAAATTCGTTGGACCAATCCAACGAGTACAACGAGAACTACTCAAAATTTTTCGTGCCCCCTCCATTGAAGCCTCAAGAACAGAATCTAATCTTCGAGAAGATCGACTTGGACTGTGGCTCTTTCGAATTCAATGATATTCAGAGTTTGGATGAGAATTATGATATCCAGGAACTCCCTATGGTTGAAGCCATTTCAGGGAATACTGTTGATTTTAACACATTTTTGAGATATGCCCCTGAGAATTATCTAGGAACGCCGATAAAGCAGGTAACTACCAATTATTTTTAACTGATAAAGCGTACAGTGCCCATAAACATTCTCTTCTCTTTTACTGTGAAAAACTGATTCTACATTAGGGTGATCATTTCCGCAAAGTTTTTGTTTTCTTCGGTGCTCAAGCAAAATATTAATCTGCATATAGAAAAAAAATTCTCAACAAGTTTGAGCTCTTAATATAAATTTTAAGTACTTACTATTTAAATTTAAAGTTTAACCGTTTAAAATGCATGTAAGAAATATATATATTTTTTCAAATTTCTAATGCTTACCCACCTTTGACAATATTACAAATCGGTTTAATACACCTTATGGGGAATTTCACGCTCTTTAAAATTGCTTTTAAGTTTTTTTTTGTAACTCGCATTGGTTCACCAGTAGGAGTCGTCAAAGGACAGTTTTTGAAAAAAATCGTTTTTTTTAAATTTTTTCTAACAAACCGCAAAAAGTAGGGAGAAAAAAGGGCTAAATCATAAAAAAAAGTTATCCAACCAATATTTAATGAATTTACAGTCATTTTTATAACTGAAAACGTAAGAAATTGATAATTACCAACTCATAATGTTATTTAGATTGATTTTTTCTATTTATTATTATTATATTTCCCTACACTAAGAAGTTTTTTAAAATTATTGATTTCTCACTTATAATAAATATGAAAACAACAGATAAATTCATAAAAAACAATAAGAAAATTGTAACGTGGATTTTGCAATTTATCAACATTTCTGTCATACAGCAAAAAAATATAAATGCAGATTATTTAATTTTTTGAAGCGAAATTTGAAATATATAAACCGATTTGCAATATTGGCAAAGGTAGGTAAGCATTAGAAATTTGAAAAAAAAATATATTTTTTACATGCATTTTAAACGGTAAAACTTTAAATTTAAATAGTAAGTGCTTAAAATTAATATTAAGAGCTCAAACTTGGTGAGAATGTTTTTTCCTATATGCAGATTAATATTTTGCTTGAGTACCGAAAAAAAACAAAAACTTTGTGGAAACGAATCACCCTATTCTACATCGACCAAAATTAGACTAATATCAATAATTCATTCGATTGAATTATTTGCTAGGCTTAAATGTATCAAACCGTGATAAATAGCAGCAAATAAGTTTTATAAATCACTACAAAATTTAGAATAATTATAGTGAAAATTAAATTAAATTCGCCTACGATTTTCTAGAATCCACATAATATTTTCTTAAATTTACCAATTCTTGGATTCAATTAAGCACTTTTTAGGCCAATTTAATCTATTTTTTTAATGGTAGTTATAAAAAATTTGGCAAAATTAAAAATAATTAGGATAAAGTTTACCAGATCATTTGATTGATTCGTGCAAAATTTATCTAAATATTTAGTCAAAAATATATTAAATTTATCAAAAATTGTATTATTTTAATCAATTCAATATTTGATTATTGACTGGAATATTTATCTTCGTAATAAGCAGTGATAGTGGGGTAGGTAAAGTATATATACTAAATATTGTGTATATATACTAAATATTGTGTTTAATAAATATTCATTTATTTTAGCCAACAAACTTTCATAAAAAATTACTCAATAAAATAATAATCTTTAGGTTCAAAATACAAAACAATAACTCAATAATGGTTTAGTTTAACAAGTGTTTTTTATGTTTAATTGGCTAATATAATGTATAATTTTTTAAGTTTTAAAATATTTGCGTTTAAAACCTTAAAAAACAACTGCTTAAATTTAATTTAACGGCGCCAAATTAATCAAAGATGGTGGCTGGAGATATCTAACGTGGTGCGCACAACAGTTTTCGTTCGAATGCCAACGAAATCGAACAGACCTTCTTGTGTGGATTGTGATCACGATTTTAATATTATCCAATGGATAATATCCATGTCCCTGACGTCTACTTGACAGTAAAAATGCTTGGTAGGAACATACCTATATTACTCTTAATAACCAAAAACGTGGAAATTAATAAAATTTATTATACCTACATATATCGCAAAAACTATGAGAGCGAAGTCAAAATAAACGGTTTTGGAATCTGCAGTGTTGAATAGACACGATCGTTCTTTCACAACTCACTACACCACCTTTCTCGAAGAGAAACTGCAAGCTAAAACGTGTTAAAAATTTAAAATTGGCATGTTTGCTAAATTTGCTGCTTACAGATTTAATCAAAATATTAGCTTGATTTTAGCTGACTTTTAATAATTCAGTCAAATATTGGATAATCGTATTAAAAATTTGATAGAATTAGTTTTATATTTGATTAATGTTAGTACACATTTCATAGGTCTTTTTCTAAAATTCAGTAAATTTTTCAAATAATTCAATCTAGACAGAATTATTTTAATTTAAACATGTATAGATATTAAGCAATTATTTTATTCCAAATATATTTGGAATATGTTTAAATTAAAATAATCCTGTCTAGATGAAATTATTAGAAACATTTACTGAATTTTAGAAAAAGACCTATAAAATGTGTACTAACATTAACCAAATATAAAACTAATTTTATACAACTTTTGATACTACTTACTAATACTAGTAAAATAAAGTTAAATCAATTTAGTTTTTATTTAAATATTATTTGATGAAATTAATCCAAATAGAAATATAATAATAAAATCCAAGAGTTGATCTTATCTATCTTTTCTTTGAAAATTAAGCTTAACGTTATATAAGGCCAATCTTAATGTTTGATTGGTTTAAGAAAAACTTTTTCTGTGACCAATCTTAACTTTGATGTTCCTAGAAAAACATGTATTCGATTTAAAACTTAAACTACCTATGTCTATCTTAGGATGTTAATTTTAATTTGATTTGCGAAATGTACATATTTATCATAAAAAACTTAAATTTGTCAGTTTTTTTCTTGATTTATTCTATTTTAGATTAAACTAATTAATTTTTGATAAATTTTGTCTTTTCTTAAATGGATTTGATTTACTTTATCATAACATTTCTAACATTTCTTTTATACATTAATTTCATTATTTTCACCTCGACGAACTCTTTTTTTCGGTTTAACACTCCTGTTTGTAGTAAACTGCTAGACTGTACGGTAAAATGAAGTACGTGATCAAATTATTTCCGGAAAACGCTGAGCGTCGATATTAACAGCATCATCGAGATTCCTGCCTGCTTCTTCATAAATCAAAATCATTTCTATTTTTTCTTCCACTGTTAAAAAATCCATTATGAATAAATGCTTAACGAAAGGAGGTCTTTTTGTTTGCGAATTAATCTTCGAACTAAATTGATTAAATAATGATAAACTATAAATAGTTAACAAAATCTTACATTACCTTTACAAAACTTTCGGTAAAATTTTTTCCTTCAGATGTTATAATAATTACAAACCCTGATCTTTTCTTTGCAGGAATCCCACATTAAAAACGAATTCGGCCACCTTCTAACTTCAAAACGCGTCAACAACAACTTCATGTCGATCTCAAACGAAATGGCCGACCAAACCCCTCAAATCTATCCCTCCGCTGAAGAAAACTCAATGGTGCTCCCTCAAAACGAGGCCCTCATCAACGATGACGTATTGCTCAGCTCCGGAAGCCTCATTTTCCCTCCAACTTCCACCGCGTACGCAGACAGGTGCGAGGACATCGAAGAAGAAGAAGATTTGAACTGCGATGACGTGTCAAGTACTTCGAATTATTTGTGCAGATGGCAGCAGTGCTACCAACAGTACGACTCTCAATGTTCATTGGTTAAACATATCGAAAAATGTCACGTGGAACTCAAAAAGGGTAAGAAAAGGGTATACAGGGTGTTATGTAATTAATGTTATATATTAAAATACTGAATAACTTGTGACATAAGGAATAAAGGAAAAATATTTAAAAAAAACATTTTTCCAAAGATAAAGAAAAAATATGCATTAGAAGTTTTTTATATTTTTTGTGATACGCCACTGGTTACACACTTGTTTATCTCTGCACACCTGTATTTTGTGAGTACATAGATACCAACCAACAAAGTAGCTATGCGTTGGCAGATGTAAAAAATTGTTACTAAAAATTTTTCTTGCAAAAAATAAATAAAAACTCAATAAATACAAAAGTTTTATGCCCTTAAATCTCTAATACCCTTCTGTATTTATTTACTCATCCAGCTATTAGCTTAAGCAATGATTAGAAAATTTAGTACCTTTGAAATTTGAAATCCATAGCCACAAAATTAATTTTTTCATCAGTTTTTCTCTCTATTTACTCAGATGAAATTGGGACCAGTTCACAGGTTAAACTTTAAACATTTAATTTGTGTAAATAAATCCAAAAGCACTTTCCTTAGTTAAGATATTTACAATTTGAAAACATAACCTAAAATTTAAAAGAAATGCACTAGATTCTGTCATAAAAGTTGTCAGATTTTGTTTGAATTTACCTTCAGTACAAAAATGACATAACCAACAATTAATAAAAACGCCAAATTGACAATTTGCATTGTTAATTTTGTCATTTTTGTAATTAAGCTAAATTTAAACAATGTTTGTCAACTTTTTGAGAGATTTTGGAAACACTTGTTACCAACCATAACATAATAAATCCACCAGATTAACCTAAAGTTCCTAGTCGATCAGTGGCGTACTTTTTGGTAGGATAAAGGTTATTATAAATTATTTTTAGACTTTGGAATTTAGAAAAAAAAAGTTTCAGGTGCTTCTTTATGGACCCTAAGGAACAACCCATTTTAATATATAACATTAATTACATAACACCCTGTAGAGTGAATGAACTCGTTTTTTATTGATCTTGTTTGTTTTTTTATTACAGGGGATGAGTTTACTTGCTTCTGGGAAAATTGCCCGAGAAAAACCAAGCCATTTAATGCGCGTTACAAACTGCTCATCCATATGAGGGTTCATAGTGGAGAAAAGCCAAATAAATGCCCGGTAAGTTATTTTTAAATTTGAAATAAACATTTTTGTAATTATAGTGGTTTCCATAAATGTTATATCATCCAAATTATAAAACCGAAATTTCTTAATTTGGTTACATAAATATTTATATCACTCTTATATACCCCTTAAAGAGCTTATTTGGAGAGTTTATGAAGGTTATCTGTACCTATTTTAGTAACACTATAAAACAAGTTTTATAACCAGAGATAACAGGAATATTATGGGAACCACTATATAACTTTTAACAATTAAGTTGTTTTTTTTTATACAATTCGATTAACATTTATTTTATGTAAAAAACAATCATGGCGGAAATAATGTATCAACCTTGAGCCCTCTTATAATGCTCATGGTAATTTTATATAACCTAAGGTACTAGTTCAGTTTTGTAGGACTATCTAAGTTACTTAAAGTGTTATTATATAATTTTGAAACTCTTATATACATTGTAGTAACTGTAGTTACTACAAGTGATGTTATAAAACTTTTAATAGGCAACAATCTAACCGCTCAGGTTAGTATTGTCAGGTTCGCCATTTTTGCCTGCAGTAATAATGGTTTTAACGCAATGGAATCAATTTATTTCACTAAACATTCGGTTTAATCCACTTTTAAAATTTTTATGTTAATAATACGAGGTGTGTTCAGAAAATATCGGGAATTTTCGTTTTTTGAAACAAAAATTTATTTATTCGTCTACATTAATGTTGTCGCCTTCAAAATAGTCCCCATTGGATATTATGCATATGTGCCAGCTCTTCTTCCAATACTCGAAACACTTCTAAAACTCGATCTTTGGGATAGCCTTTAGTTCTTTCAGCGATGTGCTTTTAATGTCATCTATGCTTGCGAAACGACGGCCCTTTAAGGTTCTCTTTATTTTTGGGAATAGGAAAAAGTCAGACAGAGGCATGTCTGGCGAATATGGAGGCTGGGGCATGATTACAGTACCTATTGTTTTTGGCCAAAAATGTTGTTCAAAATTTAACAATTTTAGCACTAATTTTGCTGTCACTCGTTTCATACACAAAACATTCGAAAAAATTTCATGGGATAAGCCAATCGATATACCAACATCATCAGCGACTTCTCTGATGGGTTATAATCATTTCTTCCACTTTTTCCATGTTTTTATCGGTTGTTAATGCGCTTGTGCGTTCGGGGCGTTCGTCATCTTCAACGTCTTCACGGCCATCTTGGAAACTCTTATACCACTTGTAAACTCTTGTTTTACTTATAGCAGACTCACTATATGCCTTTGTTAACATTTCACAGAATTTATTTCAATTTTTAAACAAAATTGGATACAAATTTTTTGATCCAATTCTTTTAACGAACGAAAAATCGCCGAGCTCATAAAACACGTCAAACCTTAGCGGCTGCCACAGACAAAGTAAACGATGAAAACAACTAAAGTTTTTATTATACTTCGGGGGCATGTATAACAACATAATAAAGAAAATTTTATGACAACCGGACCCTCCGAACCCGCGAAATTTAACAATTCCCGTTATTTTCTGAACACACCTCGTATTATATTACTTATATATTCTATGCTAAATATTTTCTTTTTAACGAATTTTTAATTAAAATTATAAAAAAGCATTGCATCGAAATCTAATACTACAATTATTATTTAAAAAAGACACAATAGTTTTATTAAACAGGTAACCGCAACCTTTATAAAGCTCTATTATAAACCCACTGGTAACGGTTACTGAAGGTTATATAAAATGTTTGTAGAAACAATTATATAACCTAATTTTATACCTACAGTTCACAGTAACCTTATATGACCATTATAAAACTAGTAAACTAAATGGCGATTTAATAAAATCTTGTTAAACTCTTATATAATTTGACAACCCTTATATAGCCTCTATATACACAAAATTTTTAATTTAACAAACATATTTTTTTACTTATTTGTATAAACCAAAAAATTATAGGAATTAAAAAAAAATATTTGATTTTTTACTTTTTATTGTGCAGTATACGGCCAAGATAATCAATAAAAACTGAAAAAAATATTTCTGCGTACCTATATCTTTGTAAAAAAAATTTTGCTTAGAACTATATCAGAATATTCAAATTTTAAAAATTCCACATAATAGATTTTTTTACCCGCCATAATGTGGTGTAATTGTTTGTCCATATTTTCATAAGTTGCCGGAATAAACAATAAAAACAAAAAAAATTGAAATTAAGAAAATTAACTTATGTATTTATTAAAATATAAAATTTCCGTTACCTATAGTGTAACATTTTTAACATTTTTAACCCTAACCAGACATACGCTGCGTTTACTTAACCACGTGTTATTTTTTTATCATTTTTTTATTATATATCAAACAAATCCACCTTGCTTAACCGTAACTAGAGTATGCCATGAAAAATAATAAACAAGTGAAAAACCCCGCATGACACACGTGATTTTATTTAAATATTTGTGTTATGTCTGTTTTTTATGTTAAAAAAATGTTTGAAGTTGATATAAACTGTTCATGATGTAAAGTATCCTTATAGGTCGTGATTTTATTTTTTAAGGTTAGGTGATTCTACAATAAACTGATTTTCTACCATCGTTATATACTTATATATTTATATATTTAAAAAAAATGCCACTTTTTAAATTTATTTATTTATTTTTTATTTCTCCATAAATCAAAATCTATTTTTTCTTACACTGTTAAAAAATCCATTATAAATAACTGCTTAGCAAAATTTTTAAAATATTTTTCGTAAAATGCATAATAACTGAGATATTCTTCAAACCACTTGTTGAGAGTTGTATAGGTTTTTTCATAGCGATTTCAAATACCTATAATACCTATAATTACAGAATGTTGAATGTATGTAGAATGTTGAGATCAATAAATTTTTTGTTACAGTTTCAAGGATGTAGCAAAGCATTTTCGAGATTGGAAAATATGAAAATTCATCAAAGAAGCCATACAGGAGAGAGGCCATATTTATGTCAATTTTCCACGTGTACCAAAAGTTTTTCCAACAGTTCTGATAGAGCAAAGCACCAAAGGACCCATTTCGATACTGTAAGTAAATTGCTTAGTAAAATAGTTATTTATGTATCAAGGCAGTAAAAGACTTTAATGCCGAGGTGCATATTAAATTTCATCCGAAATCACATTTAATAATATTAATAATTAATATTGATGAATAAATCAAATGTCATTTGAATGTAGGAAGTGTCTACGTATACTATTTGTTGCGACGGTTATGATATATTTGCCCGCCGCGGCGATTTTTTAATCTAATTAATAAAATTAACTTATTATTTTTATTAAACAACATTTTATGAAAGGGTCCAATCGACCTCCGCAACGGTGCTTTTTTTTTAAATATTATTAATTGCTGCTGAGTAGTGGCGGCCCGTCAGGGGAGGCAGGTGGGGCAGTGCCCCATCAAAGAGAATTAAAAAATTAAGTATAATTTAAATATTTTACTTTCTATATTATACTATAAATTTTTAATATTTGGATTACATGAATTGTGAAATAGTCAATAAAATTGATTGATTTTATACGTGGAATACCCAGCAACATTTAAATTATTTGAATTTGAAACGACCGCAATTTAAACTAATATTTATAGCTAGATGATTGGCTCAGAAGCATGCCTGAACTAATTTAGACTCACGATTGGCGTTAGCCTTGTTGTCTCGTTCTATTACAATGCGATAACTTAGTTGTCTCCTTCTCTCGTATTAGCATACGCGAGGCAGGCACGCCTACATCCAAGGAAATAAGCAGGTGTTGTGGCAACACTTTTGCGGAATTTTAGATAAATTATACTTCACACGTTTTTCAAAATTCAATAATAAATGGTATTATTTTTCTTATAATAAATCGATTTAATCGAAATTATATTTCTATCCTAAAATAAACATATTTTAACACTATCGCCATCTTGTAGCCATCACAGTATCCAATAAAATAAATAGATTCCTTCTTTAGGTTTGTTTTTGTTATAAAATTCTGAACTGTTTAAAGAACAAATCTGTGGTTATTTACGCAATATTTTGTTTATTCTTTTTCTATGAGTTTGTCTATTTTATGATTCTTTTGTAAGTGGTTTATTCTGTGGGTTTAGTTAATTGAACTTGGTAATTTATGTGAATTTAGTCATTATGGATATTACGGTGAGAAATTGTACCGATATTGTTGACCTTCACGTGGTTCTTGCTGAACAATGAAATATTAATTAGACAAAAATGGGGTTTATTAAAAATATACGTCATTTTTACAATAAAATATATTTCATTGACAAAGTAGAGGATTCCTTCCCCTTTTACTTAGTTTTTTTAAGTTGGGTTTAAAAAAATTTCTTCGCCTTTAAATGAGGGCGAAACCCTGCCTCTGCCTCACCAAAATGAAATGTCACGGGCCGCCACTGCTGCTCCGTAGCAGTAGACACATCTTAAAATGTATAATGGGTTGCATACAATACTGCCGATTTCTTTTTCTTTTTTTTTGCCGATTGTTGACTACTTTACGGATTTCGGATAAAAATATTTTTTAATTCGATTTTTCTTTTATCAGAAACCCTACGCTTGTCAAGTGATCGGTTGCCCCAAAAAATACACCGATCCCAGCAGCCTTAGGAAACACGTGAAGAACCACTCGTTCGAGGAACAAATGCAGATCAAAAAGAGAACAAGTGACGAACCTGGCCACCACATCAACCCGATTTTGGCCAAGAAGTACTTCGACCCGAAAAAACAAAAAGCTGTCAAGCAAGAAGTTGGTTACTACACAAGTTTGGAGCACAACTATTCGCATGTCCAATCGCCCGAAAAGAAATACGATTCCAATAATATTAAACAAGACTTGAAAAATAAGATATCGGAAAAGAATAAGTTAAAGCAACGTGTTTTGTAGGTTTAAGTGTAAAAAATACAACTCAATACAATGTTCTCATTAGAAACGTAAGGGACCAAATTTTGTGATATAATTTTACCTGTAAATAAACAAAATGTTTTTATTGATTTACATATCTATGGATAAATTTTATTTTGTACTTTTAGGCATTAGGATTTTGTAAATATACTTTCTAGAAATAAATCATTTATATAATACCCATTTTATTTTCCATATAAAATTTTCCAGGGGAGAGATGTTTCCATGCCCCAAGTGACTTTATGGTAGAAAAAATGCATTATATTGTGGTGTAATTAATAATCGATGATATTTACTCATTGAAACCAAAGCAACACATTTCACTTGTCCTTTAAATCATCTATAAAAACTATACCACTTGTTATAATAAAAAATGGTATCAACCCTGATAGCAAAATTTGATTCTAAGAATCTTCTAAGAAGATATGACCCGGAATACTGGAATATTCTTAGAACCTTCCCTTATTGCTAAAAATATTCTTAGGGACTTTTAAAACATTCAATAGATACCCTTTTAATGATGCAATTAGATTCTTAGAAGCTTCTTAAAACCTTCCTAAAAAGCATTCTAAGAATACGTTTTTGGAATGTTCTTAGAAGGTTTCTTATGAAGCTTCTAGGAAGCTTTTGAGAATATTTCCAAATATGTCAGATACCCACGTTCTAATATGTTGGATTCTACATTCGTAAAATTCTTTAGGAGGCGACAAATACGCCTCACTGTCATAATATGACAGTGAAATGTATTTGTCGTCCCCTTAATAAATTTTGCGACATATTATAATTATATATATAATTATATATATATTATAATATATATTTATTTAAAAACATTAAATAAACAATTTGACCTCTAAACCATAAGTTGTATGACATTATTTCATAAAAAGTAAAATTGGAAAATTCTGTGGGATAAGTCACATTGGATTGAAGTTGAAGATAGTTAGGATTATTATTAGGTATACATAAAAATGTTAATTCAGAAATAAAAAATCGGGATACAAATTAATAAATATTTATTTTTAACAAAAAAAAAACAAAATATTTCCTTATAAAATAATTCTTCATAAAATAAAAAACCAAATAGTTCTTCATAAAAAAAAACATTTTTCATTGTATTTAAGTTGGATAGAAGATTTTATGTAAAAGCCGGATAATTTAGATACCTATAGTAAAAGTATTTTTTTTTTCAAGCGGCCATGATATACAACCTTATATGCATGTATAGAGATAGTTGAAGTGCGTCTTTTTCATTAGCGGCAGACAAAAAACTCAAAAAAGCCTAGGGATAGAAGTAAATCCATAGGTGACTCAATAAACGTCAAATAATAAAATTAATTTAGCATTTCATACAAAGCAATCACGATGTATTAATTATATTAATTATAATCGCACGGAATATTTAGTGATTATTTATTAAATTTTAATTGAACGAAATAAAGAAAAACTAGTTTATTAGTATAATATTATGATGATAGACGAGTCGCCAATGTCGAAACTTCAAACAAATGTCAGTACTTACGTCAAAATTAATTCAAGCGCAGCATTTTGACAGAGCAGTGTTTAGTTTTAGTTTCGGATATTTATAAATATATATCGGCATTGTAAGTAAGGTTTATTAGTTTTTTTAGTTTTTATCAATAATTTCTAATGCTTTTAGCCAAAATTTTATCCCACACGAGTTATGAGTAAATAAAATAATTCTATTGCTTATCCTATTTATATTATGCCCTTGAAAAAAAAATTGTATATGTTATTTGGAGTAGAAGCTCTTTTTGTGCTTCGTACAGTTGCCTGCCTCAGCTACGCTTCGGCCGTCAATCTATGTACTCACCACAAAAAGAGTCACTTCTACTCCTTATAACATAATCTACTATTGTTATCGAATATTGTTGACATATTGACAAATAACTATAAAAAAATATTTTGGGTTGTGTTTTTTACTTAGTATTTAATACTAAGTATAGGTACCTTTATACGTAGATTATGGTATATTTTACTATTATATAGGTACCTAACTGAACTGAATATGCTTAACAGAATGTTCCAGGAATATTCCTAAATGAACTTTCTATAGTCACGGCCAAATCTATATGGGTGCACGTCATCAATGAGATATAATGACGTCAGCATTACCAACTTTGAATTGTAAATTTACTGCCGTTAAATTTGCTTTTTTAAGGCGTAATTCTGATGTGTTATTAAAAAGAAATCATTCATTTGCATATTGTTTACAAAGAACTGTAACAATTTCCTTGTTATAAAACGTTTTTTCACGAAATTATCAAAATAAAACCATTCACTTAGTAATTTTTGTGTGTGCCAGTTGGTAATAGGTTAAGGCTGGCGCGCACCGTTCAATATAAGACATTGCGCCCTTAATAATAAATTTGGGGAAATAATCAGACTTCAATTCTGACCTGGTTTGCTCTGATGACAAGCACGACTGGTAATTTATTATTTTTGTGTTTCTGATAATTTAGTATTTTTTTGTAATGTGCATATGTAATAAAAATGTAATAAACTCCGTTTGTTTTCTCTTTAAACACATTTAATAAAAATTTGCCTGTAACAAACTCCTAATTAGTTAGTGCAGAAGATTATAACAAGGAAGTTATAATTCCATCTTAATAACAGCCCCCACCGCTATAAACAGTCAACAATACACGAGCGTTAGATTGAGTCTGGGCACGTATGAATAGACCTTAACGCTGACGTCATATGCCGTTGATGACGTGCACCCATACAGATTTGGCCGCAACTATATAGCAATTACTTTCTCAACATTCTAAGCATATGTTTAGAGTGGATTAATTTTTACCACTAAACTTTGCACCTTCTAAGAACCTGCCTATAGGCCAGTGAGAATATACTCAGGATTATGCTATATTTCTTTTAAGCATGTTCATTAGAAGAAATATAGCATGATCCTAAAAATATTCTCACTGGAAGGTTTAAAAAACATTCTTAGAACATGACTAGAAGAAATATAGCATGATCCTAAGAATATTCTCACTGGAAGGTTTAAAAAACATTCTTAGAACATGACTAGAAGAAATATAGCATGATCCTAAGAATATTCCCACTGGAAGGTTTAAAAAACATTCTTAGAATAAACTGTGCTATGATAGCACTGCTATCAGGGTAGGCACTGAATATATAAGGCACAGCGAAGCTTTGTGCAAATAAATAGACTCTTATACAGTAGTGATATATAAATAATTAGTAGTTAAGAGTTTAGTTAGTTTTATAGTTTCTTAGTGTTTTAAGTGTAATTAACACAATGCGAACAGTAAAAACGTTACAACAATATACTATTAATTAAAGGGTATTAAATAATTAAACCATTTAAAATTAGTATGGCTTCAAAATTTTATTAAAGTTAACATTAGGTACTATACAGACAAATGCGCTTTTTTTGAACTCCAAAATATCATTAATTTTTATTTCTTCATTTTCAAGGAAAACCAAAAAATCTTCTGAAATATCGTTTTTGATAATTTTTTCCAACTTAATTTTTATAGTATTTAAAGTATTATTTTTAAAAGTTGAGAATAACATAGTTACATGATCATTTAGAAAATAGTGGTACATAAATGTTGTGTGGAATGGTATTTCACAATCACATGGATAAAAGTGAATTTGACTTTTATGCGTATTGAAGTGCTTTTGTAATTTTGTACAGTTTTTGATTAATTTTACTTGACAATTTTCTTCTGGGCAATTTGGAATTGGCTCTCTATTTTTACAGACCATTTCATGTTTAAAAATATAACCAATATAACCAAAGTAGTTGTTGCAGTTCCATTTGCAATAAAACATTAACTTCTGCAAACTAATTTTAAAATATTTAATTTTTGGACCAAATTTCAATATTTTTTTGCCAATCATGTCACAATCAACACAACGAACAATGGTTTTAAAAGATTTTGGTTGATAATAAACAGTGACATTGCTACTAAAGAATCCACATAAACAACATAGACAAGAAATTTCATATTTGTCGCTAATAATGTATTTTTCACAAGTTGACAGTTTAAATTCTGGATTTTGTTTTTTAAAATTTTCATTTAAATGTAATTTCCTGCTATTAAAACCTTCAAATAAACTATTAGTTTTCACGCTTTTACTTAAAGAAAATCTTTCCAGAGTCGCTATATTTATGTCAAAAATCACTTGGCACAAAACAGCATTTGAAAATAATTGAATTTGAAAACGCTGATTCATGTTAGCCTCATTGTGGCATGAATGTACTTCACCACTTTTAATCGAGTTGTTACTCAAAATAGTAAAATGTTGTTTGATGTTCTCAGCAAGTTTTTTCGGTCCAATCAGCTTGTTGTCGAGGATCAACTCATTTTTCAACGTATCCACTATGATATTCCATAGAAATATGAGACCTTAGTGTCTGTACAAATAATAGTTGTTGGTTTCTCTGCCAATGTCAACAGAAGCTGAAGGTTTTTCCAGAAAACTCCTGCGATGCTGGTGTTTGAAGTGTTCCAGCATAAAAAAGGGCGGCATCTTTGAGTTGGGGCAAAGCGGGCAAAAGTAAGCTTCGCTCCTGCAGATTTTCTCGTGATCCTGCACTTGAGAGGGCAACAGGAGCTTGGTGCAGCCCTCATAGCGATTATGGCACTTGAATAGCATGTTTCCGTACAACAAATTCACTTTTGATTCCACCCCGCCATCGGTTTCTTTGACGCACCTTCCGCATCTCATGGCCTTGTTGATGTAAAGTTTAACAGGCTTCACCGACACGTATTTAAAACACTCAAAACAGACTAAGTTGTCCAGGGCTTTTTCTGGCACCAACGTGTACATTTTGCTTGGATACGGATTTGAAACTAATGCATATTTGCCAATACACATTTAAAAAATACCTGCTTATCTTTACAAGTGTTTTTTTTATTTAATTAAAGGTTTAAATTGACTTTAAATAATCTATATAAAAATTAGAAAACTGATAAAATATGATACCAGGCATATGTGATTCAACATTGACGAAATCATATCGGACATTTCATAAATGTAATTATAATTATTATAAAACATGTCATCCCTGATAGAAAAATTTGATTCTAAGAATCTTCTAAGAAGATATGACCCGGAATAATGGAATATTCTTAGAACCTTCCCTAATTGCTAAGAATGTTCTTAGGGACTTTTAAAACATTCAATAGATACCCTTTTAATGGTGCAATGAGATTCTTAGAAGCTTTTCAAAACCTTCCTAAAAAGCATTTTAAGAACATTTTAAGAATACGTTTTTGGAATGTTCTTAGATGGTTTCTTATGGAGCTTCTAGGAAGCTTTTGAGAATATTTTCAAATATGTCAGATACCCACGTTCTAATATGTTGGATTCTAAAATTTTTCAGGAGGCGACAAATATACTGTCATAATATGACATGATATAAAATAATTCTTCATAAAAGAAAAACCAAATAGTTCTTCATAAAAAAAACATTTTTCATTGTATAAGTTGGATAGAAGATTTTATGTAAAAGCCGGATAATTTAGATACCTATAGTAATAGTATTTTTGTTATCGAATATTGTTTTAATTTGACAAATAACTATAAAAAAATATTTTGAGTTGTGTTTTTTACTTAGTATTTAATACTAAGTAAAGGTACCTTTATACGTAGAATATGGTATATTTTACTATTATATAGGTACCTAACTGAACTGAATATGCTTAACAGAATGTTCCAGGAATATTCCTAAATGAACTTTCTATAGCAATTACTTTCTTAACATTTTAAGCATATGTTTAGAGTGGATTAATTTTTACCACTAAACTTTGCACCTTCTAAGAACCTGCCAATAGGCCAGTGAGAATATTCTTGGGATTATGCTATATTTCTTTTAAGCATGTTCTTTAGAAGAAATATAGCATGATCCTAAGAATATTCTCACTGGAAGGTTTAAAAAACATTCCTAGATCATGACTAGAAGAAATATAGCATGATCCAAGAATATTCTCACTGGAAGGTTTAAAAAATATTCCTAGAACATGACTAGAAGAAATATAGCATGATCCTAAGAATATTCCCACTGGAAGGTTTAAAAAACATTCTTAGAATAAACTGTGCTATCCCAGAAAGCACACAAAGTCTTGAAGATGTCTTTTGTATGTCGACATTTTTCAATACAGATCTGTATTATGCCTGAACGTCTGAAGATCTAAAAAAGCAACATTTATTATCAAAATTCAAAGGACAAGATGTGAACTACGATTACGAAAGCAAACAGTAATACTAAAACCAAAACCTCCAATGGATTTTTAAAACACGGTCATAACTTTTGAAGTTGTGCTACACGTCCAGGTAACTTTTCTACTGTTTAAAGGGGTAAAATAAAACAGAAAGTAATAATAAAATTACATTTATTTACTTCCTATAATATATAGTAGTAACTTATAGTATTTTATACACAATAGTCAATAGTTCAATACCATTTGTAAAAAAATATTCATTATATCTAACTTATCAAATAACATATTATTAAAGATTTTATTTATTATAGGAATTTCTTGGTTTTTGACAGCCATAATTTAGTTGTGGTTTAGCTCTTTCCTCCAGTCTTTTTCTGAAAAAAAAAGAAGAAAAATGTTAGATGAAGATTTTATTGGTAAACTTTTAACACTTACAGATTTATCTTTGCTGTAGATTTCCCAGCAAACGTTTTGAGCACCAAATGGACTGTTCCTTTTACATTCGCAGTCCAAACCTGATTCCACATCGACGGTGTTATCAACGATGTTGTGAGCGGCCACGCTAACGAAAGTTTTGGCGTCACCTTTAGCTGCCAAGAAGTTGTTGGTCACGAAGACATTACCGTTGTTCTGCAATTAAAAAACACAATGTTAGGTGTCTAAAACACATCCCAAGAAGCAATTCTTACCTTGATGGTGAAGTCAACACAGAAATCGTTGTATTCAAGGTCCTTGTGCAACTCTGAGGAACCCTCGGGCTTCTTCTTTCCTTGAGACATGGTGAACACGTTGTGCTTGTTGAAACCGACGACGTCCTTGGATTTTTTGGCGTCCTTGACGGTCAAACTATCGAACGGGGTGATCAAATTCAAGTGGATTTGGTTGTTTCTGAAGAAGAGTGTCCTCAACTTTTGCAGCTGAAATGTGAGTTACACAGTTAGTGGCCAAATTTTGAGCAATGTTAAAAAGACTCACCAATAAGAGTTTTCCGGTCTCGCAGGGTCTGCTGGTGACAGCGATGATGGATTTGACAGCGTTGAATCTGAACGGGTACTTGAGGGCTTCCGTGTAGGTTTGGGCTTGCAGATCGAGTCCCAAGGCGAGTTTGAGGCTTCGCAGGAGGTCTTCGACCACCAAAATCGCCTTGTCGACCTTCTCGTTCTCCGTGTGCACGTCGCTGTGCTTGGGCCCGTCGGCGAACTTTACGCCCGGCGGTTTGCCCTTGAACTGCAGCTTTCCGTTGACGGTCACGTGCGACGGCCAGAGATTCTCCCCGCCGTAGGTGATCAGGTGGAACTCCACGTCGTTCATTTGCTTATCGTGCAGCTCCTTTAGGATTTCCAGGACCAGCGGTTGCACCAGCTCCTTGTAAATCTTCTCGTTGGGTTTGGTGGTGTCGAGCAGGATCACGAAGTCGGCGGATTTACTAGGCAACTTCACGCTGAACTTTTCTCCCACTTCGTGGAGTTTATCGCCGTTCTCGCATTTCACTGCAACAACAAGTTTTTTAGTTTCTTTGGTCTTTTAAGTGGAATATCTATACTAGGGTGATTCATTTCCGCAAAGTTTTTGTTTTCTTCGGTGCTCAAGCAAAATATTAATCTGCATAAAGAAAAAAAAATTCTCAACAAGTTTGAGCTCTTAATATAAATTTTAAGTACTTTTTTTTTTCAAATTTCTAATGCTTACCCACCTTTGACAATATTGCAAATCGGTTTAATACACCTTAAGGGGAATTTCACGCTCTTTAAAAGTGCTTTTGAGTTTTTTTTGTAACTCGCATTGGTTCACCAGTAGGAGTCGTCAAAGGACAGTTTTTGAAAAAAATCGTTTTTTTTTAATTTTTTCCATCAAACCGCAAAAAGTAGGGAGAAAAGGGCTGAATCGTAAAAAAAGTTATCCAACCAATATTTAATGAATTTACAGCCATTTTTATAACTGAAAACGTAATAAATTGATAATTACCAACTCATAATGTTATTTAGATTGATTTTTTCTATTTATTATTATTATATTTCCCTACACTAAGAAGTTTTTTAAAATTATTGATTTCTCACTCATAATGAATATGAAAACAACAGATAAGTTCATAAAAAAACTAAGAAAATTGTAACGTGGATTTTGCAATTTTTCAACATTTCTGTCATATAGCAAAAAAATATAAATAAAGATTATTTAATTTTTTAAAGCGAAATTTGAAATATGTTACATAACCTTCTGTATATTCCGATTAAAGTTTTGTTGTTTTTTTATGAATTTATGTGTTGATTTCCTATTCATTATGAGTGAGAAATCATAATAATATTTAAAATGTTCTTAGTGTAGGGAAATATAATGATAATAAATAGAAAAAATCAATCTAAATAACATTATGGGTTGGTATTTATCAATTTCTTACGTTTTCAGTTATAAAAATTGCAGTAAATTCATTAAATATTGGTTGGATAACTTTTTTTTTATGAATCACTACTTTTGGCGATTTGCTCGAAAAAATAAAAAAAACGATTTTTTTCAAAAACTGTCCTTTGACGACTCCTACTGGTGAACCAATGCGAGTTACAAAAAAAACTCAAAAGCAATTTTAAAGAGCGTGAAATTCCCCATAAGGTGTATTAAACCGATTTGCAATATTGTCAAAGGTGGGTAAGCATTAGAAATTTGAAAAAAAATATATATTTTTTACATGCGTTTTAAACGGTAAAACTTTAAATTTAAATAGTGAGTGCTTAAAATTAATATTAAGAGCTCAAACTTGGTGAGAATGTTTTTTCCTATATGCAGATTAATATTTTGCTTGAGCACCGAAAAAAAACAAAAACTTTGCGAAAATGAATCACCCTAATATGTATACTTACACAAGTACTCAGGGATAGCAGCAGGGATGTTGCGAGTTATACAACTGTGCACGTACAATCCGGCGATAGCGGCAACGGTGTCTTTGTTACCAGCGGCCACGCCAACGTTGCAAGCCTTCTTGAAGTTGTCAACTTTGACGAATTTATAGCAGAGCGCCAAGGAGGAGTCCCAGGCGAACAATTTGGAGCAAGCTGGTGCGTCCGGACCGGCGAAGGTTTCTTTAACCACCACAGCCGGGCAGTTTCCTACTTTGTAAGCGTTTCCGAATTCGTTTTCGGTCTGTACGATTTTACCGTTGGGCAGGGTGAAATCGTCGTAGGGATCGTTGTTTCCGTTACCCAAAACACCTCTGATCTCGCCGTGGTAGTATCCCGATAAACTGACGATGCAAGCTTGTAGGTCGGGTGTGCAACCGACTGTCACACCAGTTGAGGTCACCATCTTCACGACGTGGTAGTCTCTGTAGGCACCGATGGTTGCCTTACGGGCCGGCAGTTCAGTTGGAGCTGCAAATGTGTGATGAGTTAGTTACTTTGTTTTAAGAATGCTTTTTAAACCATTGACATTGTTCTGAGGATGTCGTTTGGAAAAGTAGATGTAAAATGAGGGTTCTGGGTCAATTTCTACAGTATTCACCACATACCATAAAATATAGTGGGTACACACTCTTTGAAAAGATGTGAGTTATAAACAAAGGTTAATTGTTCTTATAACCATATTACTTTAATAGAAAGCTTTAACAGTGTTTAAGCCAAAAGGGTTTTTAAAGCTACCTGTCGTGGTTGGTGTTGCAAATTATGTTTTATGTCAAGCAGTTAACTAGATTACTAGATCAGATTTTGCAGATGGCCCTTTCCTCCCTTGGTTAGCCTCTTTTGTTTGTCTCGTGAAGAGCACCTAGTTTACAGGTGGTAAGCTGTCACTTCTCATTTTAACTTCATTGACTGTAGTGTGGTCTTTAATCACTGTAGTTCACAGCATAGGAAAAATATAGAAGTGTATTGATTGACCATATTTGTAAAAGAGTAAGTTCCTCAAACTTTGCTTTATTATCTCTAAAGGAGTTTGTCTCGGCATGGACTCTTGAGCGTATACTATGGTATGATATACTCCCACTTATCTTATAATATCGTTCTTTGGGGTAGAGCAACATCATTAAATAGAGTATTTGTTCTACAAAAAAGATCATTAAGAATAATCTTTGGTATGCGTTCGAGAGAGACATGCCGAGACATATTTAGGAGTAATAATATTTTGACAGTCTATGGTATCTACATATATAAACTTAAGAAATATGTAGGTTCAAACTACTCCCAATTTCATATAAATAATGACTTTCACATGTATTCAACAAGAGGAGGTGCCTCTTTAAGTGTTTCGAGATATTCTACTATTCTGGTATAAAAATTTATAATAGTCTTCCAGAAAGCATTAAAATAATAAATAACAATAACCAATTTAATAGAGAGCTTAAAAGTTTTTTAATTAGTAAATGTCCTTATGATCTTAGAGGTTTTTTGTAACATTTTTATTTATAAATTCTTGTAGTGTGGAACAGACTGTATACACTCTAAATGTTAGTTTATTTTTAGATTTTAATAATGTATTTGTGTTGTTAATCTTTGTAATATTTATACTGACCTGTCCTATACATATGTAAATATGTCTTTTGGATTAATAAACTATCTATCTATCTATATATAGGATGACTCCCTGTTTGAATACTACATCTTAAAGTTTTATCAGAACTGTATTGAATCGTGTTTTTTTTATATTTTTCGCCTCTTTACCTATGCACGACCATAGTTAAAGTCAAACTCAATGGTGTCTTACAAGATACATTATTTTGATTTTCTATATTCAACAGAGAAGTAGAAACTCGACCCTGCCGAATGGTACAGTCATTTATGTCTCTAAAAATTATTGTAAAAGGCAGTCCAATGGTGCATCAACTCTTTACTCTACCAAGATATAGAAACTGGAGTCTCTCTAATACTGTTCTAGTCAAAATTTCTGAGAGCATAAAAAAAGGTGTAATTCAATATTGCAAGAAGTTTTGATCTTTTGATGGATGCAAGTATTTTGAATATTCTCATTTCTGCATATGATTTTGTTAAAAACGTGACTGAAAGAATATCAATTTTCTATGTAAAACTATGAAAACAATTATGATAAATCGTTGCAAAATTAATAACGTTTTTTGAACAGGTAAGAAATCGATTTTTAAACTTTGTTTGTACTGATGGAAAGAGCAAGTTTCATTAATAAGTATCTTACCATTGTTCATGGTGACCTGTCCGCCCTTCTTGATGGTGATGGTGTCCTTGCCGTCGGAAAGAGTCAAAGCGTTCAGAGCGCCGTTACTGTAACTTCCGACCAGATTGAACTTACCGTTGAGAGCATCGCGAGCCAACAGGTAGTTGCAGTTGGCTGGGAAGTTAATTTGGCGCCCGTCGAAGGTGAACACGTGCTGTCCTTGGCCGATTAGCGCGACCACTGCAGAGAGTAACGCGTTTTAGGTGAGTTATACACGAGTTTGATGTTTGGTACTTACATGGGAATGGCATGGAGGCCAATCTAGGTGAAGTGTACAAAGAGAGTAGGAAGTCAACGTACGCATTGGATTCCTCCTTGAGAATGTGGGAGAGTGGGGAGAATTTGATGGCGGCGATGCGTGGTAGTTTGGTGAGGAGTCCCAAGTTCAAAGACAACTGAAAAATACAAGCTCACATCACATCACAGAATCTGTGGATGGGGTAGTTAAATTTTTCTGACCTACACTTTTTATGGTTTTATTCAAGGCGTTTTGTAATTTTAACCATTTCGGTGAAATCGGAATCTCAATTGAGATATTTACAAAAAAAATCTCCTAATTACGTCACTAGGCTATTGTCAACGTTGCCAGCTTTTTCTATGGTTGCCAGTGTGTTTAGTTTAAGATTCTTACGATAGATGGCGCCACGTTAGTTGAGAAGAAGAAGAAGAATTGATTTTTTGACGTTTCTTTTTTTCGGGTTATGTTTTTTTTTAATTTAGATTATTGAAAATCAATGTTATTGTTATGTTATTTGTAATTGATATTAGATAAGTGATTTATTAATAACGGACTCCAAAGCAGAGGAATCTTGTGGAATGGTTGGTTACATTGAACATTGGAGCTTTTAAACAAATAAAGTAAGTACCTATAATTATAATCATATTTTGTCGTAAATGCATTTCATTAGTATAATGTCTAGTTCTTTATATTCTTTTAGATATATCTTGGACTCTAAAATATCAAACAGTAATATAATACCTCGTAATAAGGAAGATAGGTACCTAATGAATTTGGTGACCATCTTTCACTCAACTGACAGTGACAGTATTTGTACATAACCTCTTCGGGTATTTTCTGACATAACCGAATGGAATCATTAACAAGACAACTTGACAACAGGGTAATTTTCAACCAATAGAAATCTTAGAATGTTGGTCACATGGCGAGGTTTGTGACGTCATAAAAATTTATATTTTTTGTAAATATCTCGAAAACGGTAAACTCAATTGAAATTCCGATTTCACAGAAATGTTTAATATCACAAAACGCCTTGAATAAAACCATAAAAAGTATAGGTCAGAAAAAATTGCAGGATTACTTACATCTGGGTTGATAAACTTAATTTCCTTGGATTCCATGGTAATGATATCGGCGAATTTCTTGATGAGAACCAATAGGGATTTAAAGATCTTCTCTAACTCGGCCATATCGTCGACAGCTTGGTTCTTCAGTTTCTTCTCAATGTAGGCTTCGATGTTGACCAAAAGTTGTTTCAAGTCGGTCATGTTTGCTGGCAGGATTTCGTAGACGGAGTTGAGGAACTCCTTCATGATGTTGAGGAAGAACTCGGAGTTCGGCATTCCGTTCTTGACGAGTTCTTCGTATTGGTTCTTCAATTCTTCGAAGACGGGCAGGGCTTTGATTTCGCTGTAGATTTTCTTCCATTGCTCCACTATCATGGTCTTGGCGTTTTGGTAGGCCTTAAGCACGAATTTACCCAAATCTTGCGTGATTCCGCTTAGAGCGGTGGCAAGTTGCTTGATTTCGGGTTGGTACTGTTCGATGATTTCGTTGATTTTCACCAAAACTCCCAAAACCACGTCAACGAAGTTGTTGAGGATATCGCCGACGACCTCCAAAAGCTTTTGTCCAGTCTTTTGCAATTGCGGGATAAGTTCCTTCTCTATGGATTCCAAAACCTTACTGAATGAGGCTTGAATGGACTTGCTAATCTGCTCGACTAACTCGCTGAATTTACCGAAAGTCTCCGTCATTACTTTGGTTAAGGTGCCGAAAATGCTCCTAAAGAACTCGCTTAGGTCTTTGATGGTCTTATCTGACATTACTTCTTCCCTGAGTTTCTTCAATTCACTCGCGTAATACTCCTTAACCGGTCCCATATTCGGCACAGCTTTCTTCGCGATTTCAGACAACTCGTTGGAAACTTTTTTGCCGGTGTTCACCCATTTATTTTGCAACTCCTTCATTCCGCTGACGTACTTCGATACGTCTCCTCTAACGTTTGTCAAGACTTCGTGGATTTTCTTCGAGTCTACGCCGTAGTCGGGTTTCAAGAAGTTGGCGTCGTCGAGTTTCAAGCTGGCGTGGAAGAGGTTCACTTTACCGCCTGGAGTGATGAGGTCCGAACGGACGTCGGCGATTTGGCCAGGAATTAGACCGGAGCTGAGTACTAGTTTCTTGTTTGGCGTGTCTGGAATTAATGGAGATGTTAACAGGATAATAGCTCAAAATGCCTAAAGAAGGGGCTAAAGTGTGTTAGTGCTTGAACTAAAAGCGATTTTGAAGTCCAGTTTAAGAGGTCTGGAAGGGATTTTTCAAGAATTGGACTTCAAGTTAAAGCAGTAACTAGTTTCAAGTATAAGAATGCCTTGTAAAATATTGTTCACAAAAACTTACTTTTGAATCCAGCCTCGTACTTCATGGTGTTCCAGTTCTTGATCTCCAACTTGGACACAATTGGATTCTTGTCGTACGAAGAAACCTCGGTGTCGACAATTTGTTGGTCCTTGCTCAGATTAATCTTGCTGGTGACCTTGAGGACGTCGGTGTTCAAGAATCTAACCAGGACGTTGGCTTGAGTCTTGGACAGCTTGGCGGACACTTCGTTCGACAGCTTGGTGCCTCCGATTTGGATGTCCAACTTTCTGGAGACGTCGGTGACCATCTGCTCTTTGTCCGCGGAGTATTCGTCCGACCAGTTGATGTTGATGTTCAGTCCCGTGCTCTTGGCGGAGACGGTGTTCTTGAAGGTTGCCTTGGATTTCAGGTCGCTCTTGGATACGGCGTTTTGTTGGATGACGATTTTTTGGCCTGGCTGAGCGAAGATGTCCAACTCGACGGTTACTGAGACTTGTCTGTTGCCTTTCTCGCCCTGGGCGGTGGATTTCAAGGAGGCAGACAGTGGCTGAAAGATGAAAGAAGCTCTTTACTACTGTCACAGCAAACTAAGTTTGGTATACGATATTTTACATTTATTGCCCTTGTGGAAATTTTTCTCTGAGAAAGTCTTACTTTCTCTGAAAAAGTCTGAATAAGACTTATTAAGTCGGAAAAAGTCTGAATAAGTCTTATTAAGTCAGACTAATAGCAAGATTTAGGAGTCTTCTGGAAGAGTTAATAAGACTTTTTAAGACTTAATGAGACTTTTAGTAGAGAAATGGTAGGTACCTACGGGGATAAAAATAAATATCCGAAATAATTCATAGAGGTTGTATTTGGTTATCGTAAAATAAAACACATAGAAAAGTATTTATTACCATTTTTGCTGTTGTTAAAAGCCAAGTTTATTGCATAATTACCTATATAATAACATAGGTAAGATGTAATAATTATAACAATTATAATTTTATACATACGATGCGCTTGACATGTTTTCATTGTTTCCACCATAGAAAAAGGAGTTAATATCATGTCTATAGACATGATATTTTCGATAGACTCATAAGACAAATATGGTTGATCTTCGTGTTTACGTACAGTGTTGCCATAAAAGTTCCTGACCATAAATTACAAAATACTAAAATAATAATAAAAATGTAACAGTATAGAATAAAATAATTGTGCATATTTAGTAAATACACAATATTATTTACTGAAAATTTCTTTTGTTATTATTTTGATAGAAATTTGCAAATCACCCGATTTCACCCCCAAATATTACGAAAATACCCGATTTTCGAGTAAAATACTTGCAAACGGCAACACTGTGTCCCACTGACAGGTCAGCTGTGCTCTAATTGGTCAGCTAGCTGAGCTGGTCTCTCGATATTACGTCTAGAAGATTTGTTTGTAACAATGTTTAGATAGGTAAATATTTGCGTGTATCAAAAGAAACTATTAAAATAAAACGTACAGTGGCAACTCCTTTTTCTATGGTGGAAACAATGAAAGCATGCATGTCAAGCGCATCGTATGTATAAAATTATAATTGTTATAATTGTTACATCTTACCTATGTTATTATATAGGTAATTATGCAATAAACTTGGCTTATAACAACAGCAAAAATGTTAATAAATACTTTTCTATGTGTTTTATTTTACGATAACCAAATACAACCTCTATGAATTATTTCGGATATTTATTTTTATCTCCGTAGGTACCTACCATTTCTCTACTAAAAGTCTTATTAAGTCTTAAAAAGTCTTATTAACTCTTCCAGAAGACTCCTAAATCTTGCTATTAGTCTGACTTAATAAGACTTATTCAGACTTTTTCCGACTTAATATTATATAAGTCTTATTCTGACTTTTTCCGACTTAATAAGTATTCAGACTTTTTCAGAGAAAGTAAGACTTTCTCAGAGAAAAATTTCCACAAGGGTGGGGTTTATTTGGACAATTCCCCAACACGATTGCACAAAAATCATAGGAACATTAAGTCCTATATTGTACTATGCTCCACACCTCAAAGTCTCACCACGTGACCACGTACAGAAGGCAGTCTTTTGAAAATTTGGCATTTAAGGCTTTTCAGGTTATGTATCTGTCAAAGTATAGTCAACGAAAGAAATAATATTATGTTTAGGCGTTAAAAATGTATAAATCTTTATAACATTAGAATAACAATGGATGGTTTAAGAATTTAAGAATATAAATACTGCATTTAATGAAATTCTAAAGTGTATGGTGCCAAATAAGTAATATTTTTGTGCATTTGGTCCAAATATCTTGTTTTCTTCATAAAATAATTTTAACTAAACAGCATTTATTTAAAAAAACTAGCTTCTCTATTATGGAATAAGAATATCTGTATTAAAGGTAGGTTAATATATTATAACAAAAATATCATCTAATTTTGTAATTTTAAGGTTAGAAAAATTTATTTTGACCAAAATAAATAAGTATTTTGGATTATTTAAAAGACAGTATAATATGGTATTTAAAAATGTGGTAGTTTTTCTTATCCAGCTTAAAGTGTACCTACATAAAGTTTTGTCAATGCAAATAGTAAAAAAGCTTCGACTGAATTTGATCTACATCAAAAAATCATTATAACTTTAAAAATTTTAATAAATCACATGTCATGGGAGTATTAAATATTTTCACATTGCAAGTTTCTCTAAAAATTGTTTGTGTTCTTATAATCTAACTTAAAGTCAGTATGCCGAGAGGTATGCACAAGTTTTGTCGTTAGAAGTATAAAAGCTTCAATTTAATTTGAACTATATTCAACAATTATTTAGTATACCTATATTTATTTATGACCATATTAACACACTCTTTCAAATAATCCACTTATTTATTGGTCAAAATAGATTTTTCTAACCTTAAAATACAAAATTAGTTTATATTTTTTGTTCTAATACATTAACGTACCTTTGATACAGATATTCTTATTTCAAAATAGAGAAGTTAGATTTTTTTAATAAATGCTGTTTAGTTTAAACTATTTTATGGAGAAATGTAGACCCAATGCACAAAAATATCACTTATATTTCACCTTACACTTTGGAATTTCATTAAATGCAGTATTTATATTCCTAAAATCTTAAACCAACCATTGTTATTGGGATACTATAAAGATTGTACGTGGTCACGTGGTGGGACTTTGAGGTGTGGAGGATAGTACATTTATTGGCAAAACTTTTTCAAAGATGAAAGGGCCAAATTTTAACCTGATATGATTCTCTGGGTATCTCTTAAGTTAAACAAGTTTCTATTTGTCCCAAAACTATTTTCAAACCGTCTAAAATACTTATTAGAACTGTCAACTTACCCTTTGTAGACCTGGATGAGTAAACTTGATTTCCCCTTCCATTGCTGCTTTGTTGATGTTGACCCAAGAGTTCAATGAGGTCTTCTTGGCGGGTTGGTTCTTTTTGTCCAGGTAGAAGGAAACGTCCATGGACACTTTGCCGCCAGCCTTCAAGACGTTCTTGGGGTAGTCAGCTTTGGTTTCCATGGCGACGATTCTCTTGGGAGTGGTGAGAGACCAACCGGCCTCCTTGGGATGAACATAGAAGCTGTATTGGTACTTGGATTTTTCTTTGTTTTGGAAGTGGACGTCTACGGTGTGGTCAACGACCCATCCATCGCGGTTCGTGACGGATTTCAGACCAAACTCGTGGGTTAAACCCAATTTGCGGAGGTCGATGTTGATTTCCAGCTCTTGGTTGTAATGGGCTGCCCCGTTGATGTTCGCTTTAGAGTCCAATTCGATGTGAGCGCATTCCTTCTTTTCCTCGCAGTATGAGTTCAAGATTCTGAACTGTTTGTTCGTGGCCTTGAATTCGGCGTCGATTGCTTTGTTGCCAAGTTTAGCGTCGAAAGAGATCTGTGAAATGTGGAAAAACACCCTTAAATAAGATTTTTTCATTAAATTTTCTACTTACATCAATTCCATCTTCCTGGTTCTTGTCCTTGGTCAACTTCTGGGAAATAAACTTGAAGTTTCCAGATTTGGTTTCCTCCTTAACCTGGAAGCTACCGGACCCTTCCACAATCGTTTTGTGGCCTTCGACCTTGCTTTGGTAGCTGGTGACCCCGCTCAGCAAATTCTTGTTGGCAGATTTAACGTTAACCTGAATCTTCTTTCCATTGCTGCCAGGTTTGGTCATGACTTCGAAGACGATGTTTTCCAACTTAAGAGCAGGCGAGTTCATGGATCCCTTGATCTGGAAATCGTCGACGCTCTCGATTTGAGCGTCCATTTTGGACTCCAGGAGGAAGTCTTTGCGTTCGCAGATGATTTTTAGTTCCGACTCGAAGTGACGGTCGGTGACTTGGTGATGTTTGTTCATGAACTGGGTGAGTTTTCCCTCTGGGCAACGCATTTGGATGTCGATCAAACTATTAGCACCACCCATCTGTAATAATAACTTGTTATTAGAAACTAATACTAACACTATGATAGTCCGAATTACTAACATTGAGTACGCCCACCTACACTGTTTAAAATATCTGTGGTGTGAAGAGTAATTTTAAAATGGTGTCAAAATCCAACACCAAGTTTAATGAAAGATCAAGCATTCAAAATTGACGAGCTTGTCGCATATGGCAGTGCCATTGAAAATGTTCTTGGTTCATCGGGCCTAAAATTGGCGACAATTCATTGAAAAAATACTTTCCGTTTTGCAATCAATTAGCGTTAATATGTCATTTAAAATACATTTTCTTTTTTTTTCATCCTGATAAATTTGCCGAACTGATGAACATGGAGAACGATTTCACCAAGTAACTGCAAATCTAGAGCATTGGTAGATATCTATGGGTATAGCGGAAAAAAGTTGGATTCATTGCTAGGAGACATTTGCAGCAAAAGATGTACGACGATGATGAGGATTAAGCACAATAATACTATTATCCAATTTCATATTTAATACGATTTTAAATCCTAGACGTCTTATAAAAAAACTAATGACATTTTTAAAATCAGGTTAAACCCAAAGAAGAATTTTTCTTCACTTTTTAAATTCCACTTTTAACTGTCTAGGGTCCGTCCATAAATTACTTTATGGTAGATCCTAGATACTAGTGTTGTTTACCCTGCTGTGAACATATTTTCTAGTAATACTTACGAGTTTGGTTTCAGCGGTCCATTTCTTACCGTCGCTGACCAATTCCACGTTACTTTCGATGGTTTTGGTATCGGGGGATCTCTTGGTGTTGACGATGATTTTGTTGTTCTTGTGGGACTCGATCGGGGTGTCCAGCTGGCCGACAAAGGTGTACTCGTGATTGGCGTTCTTCTTCAAGGAAACGTCAACCTTGACGTTCTTGTTTTGTTCGTATTGAAGGGCGCCATTGAGGTTCATTTGTTTCTTATCTTCGGATTCGTTCTTGGAGTAGCCTAGAGAGAGGGTTATCGGGTCGCGTTTGGCGTATTTGATTGAGGCTTTGAGGTGTCCGTCTTTAGGGTTTGCTTTTACGGAGGCTTCGGAGGATAGATCCAAGATCGCTTCGGGTTTGCTACCGTCATCGTCGGCGAAAACTGAGTAGGCGCCTTGCCACTCAATGTTTTCAGATGGAGTGCTTGCCGGTTTAATAGAACCCGATCCAGATACTTTCAGAGTTTTGAGGATTTTGCTGGGGGTGTTAGCGGTCAAAGCGAATTCACCGCTGTATGGTTTCCCCTCTCCAACCAAGTCGTATTTACCATCGAAAGTGTACTTAGCTTCAGCCCCATAGGTAGTTTTCACGTTAATGCTACCCACACCTTTGTGGCAGTTACCACTAACAGTGGTTTCAACGGGGTTCTTTATCAGGGAACCGTACAATTTGCTGCGCAAATCCATTTTGCTTTCCTCGCCGTTCTTCTGCTTCTTAATCACCAAATCGTGGTTGATGGATTTACCGTTGGAATTGTCAGCTGCCAAGTTGTACTCCAAATCCATAACTCCCTCCTTAAGGTTGGTGTTCTTCGCCGTAGCTTTCATGGAAATCTTGTTTCCGGGGGTATTCTTGTTCTTCCGTTGCTCCAAGCTCAACTGAGAGTGGCCGTTGGCAACATCGTTGACGATTTTCATGTCGCGGTTGAGTTTACCGAGGAAGTATTGTTCGTTGGGGAGGATTACCTCAACCTCAGACGAGATTTTGCCGTTCTTAAAGTCCCCAGTTTTGTCTGACTTTGAGTTGAGTACGAATTTGTTGCCCATAAGGTCGACGGAGTTTCTGCAATGAAGTTGTTATAGGAATATATGGACTACCGAAATAAAAATGAACTTACTTGGAATCGCAAGTGGTTTCAGTGATGGCATTCTGAGTGGACAAAATGATTTTCTTGTTCTTGTCTTGTCCGAACATGGGGTACAAGGTAACCAAAACGTTGTAAGTTTTGGGAGCTTGAACGGTGAAAGTGGTCTCGGCCTTGGCTTGCTTCTTCAAACCTTGCAAGTCGATCAAAATGTCTCCGTTACCGGCGCCTTTGACAGATTTGAGTTGGCCGTTGATCACCAATTGGTCTTTGACGTTTACTTTGATGCTTCCGTTGGCGTTACCGTTTTTGTTGGCTTTCAAGAATACGTCTACGATCACGTTGCTACCGGAGGAAATTTTCTGCGAGGCGTCCAGTGACAGAGGGTCGTACTTCAAGACAGAGGCGACACTAGAAAAAATATCGAGTGAATGTGGAACATTACAGCAGAGAGAAAAATACTTACATGAAAGGTGTGTTGTGCGTGGGCAATACAACAGTCAAATCGGCAGCCAAATCGGCTTCCTGCGGCTTAATCATATGTCTGAGCGTACCTTTAACCTCAAACTTCTTATCGTTAACTTCCAAGGTGTTGTCGATTTTGCATTCGTGTCCAACGATTTGTCTGCTGGATTTCAATTCGACTTTGTTGTCGAGTCCCCACAAGTCCCATTCGAGTTTGTAGTCGCCTTTTTCTTTACCGTCGATATCGATCTCAAATTCAGAACCGGCTTTGAAGTTTTGGTATTGAATTGACGTTTCCGATTCGAGATGTTTGGGTTTGCGATGAAAGTCCAATTTCAAGTCCATGTTAAGGGCAGGGTAGGTGATGCGGTTTTTGGTGCCCACTTCGAGCTTTTGCGGCTCGCTCTCGTCACCAACCTTCCAGAAGACGTTGTTCACGGTGAGAATGTTGGTTTTCGAGTTTGCAGGGCCGTGTTGGATCGTCAGATGGCTCTCCAGTTTGGGTCCTTTTTTAAACTCACCCTGCACTTTAAAGTTAGCATTGGGGTTGATGGAGTTTTTGAGCTCCACGTTGATTTTCGCCATTTCATTCACGACTTGCACTCGGCCATTTAATTGCGCGGATTGCTCCCCATTGGAGATGTCCAAGTTGGTAAATAGAGACCCGCTCTCCTTACCAAGATCACCTTTGAGGGTGAGTTGTTTGCCGGCGTTGGGCATGGCCACCTTGAGATTATCGAAGGTGTACTTAACATTCTCACCGTTGGTTTCCTTGATGATTTGCCCTTCCAGACTCTTCAGGGTGTTTACGCCGCCGTCGGGTGTTTTGTACTCCAAAACGGGTTTGTAGACTTGCCTTGCTGGTGTGCCAGATACCGATACGCCCAGTTTGCCGTAGAACTCGTTGTTTAAGTAGTTCAAACGTCCAAACAGAGCCTTCTCCTGATCGTTGGAAATCACCTTTGCTTCGGCTAAAGCGTTATATTTGGGGGATACCAGTTGAGCCTTCACGATCATGTCGGGTTGCAAGTGCGCCAACAATTGCACAGAAGTCTTCTTTTGCCCGTTGTTTCCAATGGTACTCAATTCAATTTCGCCTCCCAGGTTATTGGGTTCGTCGTTGAACACCCGACGTATCACGTACTCCTTAACATCTTCGCGGTTGATCTCCACCTTAACATTACCATCACCAGCCAATGGGAAAGGCAACACAGGCACCTGCTTACCCGATAAATTAGGTCCAGAGTACTCACCGCAGAACTCCAAGCCGATGTAGTCTTTCAATTGATCCACGCAGATCGAGAAATCTTTGTTCTGCGCGAACTTCAAGGGGGTGTTGACTTCCTTAGCGCCCAAATCTCTGCTGTGCGATACGACCTCGTGGTTAGCGCTGACGAGGGTTTGCTTGGCGACGGGTAAAGTGTACTTCAACTCCATGGCCTGGCCGTTCTGAGAAACCTCAAAATTGGCTTCACCACCCAGAGCGGAATGCAAAGTGGAGACAACCTTAAGACCGTGCTCTGATGCGAAAGTGTCGATTGTGATTCTACCGGAAACTTCAATGTTAGCACTGGGGATGACGCCAAGTTTAATCAGTTGGTTGGTTTTCGTCTTGTTTATAATGCTGCGCAAATCGATGGCGCCTTTTGTTTTCACTTGGATGTTGGCGGAACCTTCTACGGCGATTCTGGAAGGGAAAAATGAAAGTTAGTGTTTGTTTTACTCCACACAGAAAAAACGCTTTGATATAGTCAATAACAATGCTATCCCTGATAGCACAGTTTATTCTAAGAATGTTTTTTAAACTTTCCAGTGGGAATATTCTTAGGATCATGCTACTATATTTCTTCTAGTCATGTTCTAAGAATGTTTTTTAAACCTTCCAGTGAGAATATTCTTAGGATCATGCTATATTTCTTCTAAAGAACATGCTTAAAAGAAATATAGCATAATCCTAAGAATATTCTCACTGGCCTATAGGCAGGTTCTTAGAAGGTGCAAAGTTTTAGTGATAAAAATTAGTCTACTCTAAACATATACTTAGAATGTTAAGAAAGTAATTGCTAGAGAAAGTTCATTTAGGAATATTCCTCTTAAGCATATTTAGTTCAGTTACCTATATAATAGTAAAATATACCATAAACTACGTATAAAGGTATATACCTATACTTAAGTACCTAATTAGTAGTAGTATTAAATACTAAGTAAAAAACACAATCCAAAATATTTTTTTATGGTTATTTGTCAAATTAAACAATATTCGATAACAAAAATACTTTTACTATACTGCCGTACTAAGCGCAGAAGCGGTAATTAACATAATGGCTGTCATGAGATATTGGTACTTTTATGTTAATAGCTTTGCCAACTCAGTTTGGTAACAGATACCGCTAAAAATAAATTGATATTTCAATCATTTACTGACAAAATACCGATTTAATACCTTATTAAAGTAGAGATTTTTAACCCTAGTTTCATATTACGGGAAAATGTCAATTTCCTTTAAATGTGCAGTTACCGCTTCTGCGCTTAGTACGGCAGTATAGGTATTTTATTTTATGTTAAAAATAAATATTTATTAATTTGTATACCGATTTTTTATTTCTGAATTAACATTTTTATGTATAATAATCTATCTTCAACATCAATCTAATCTGACTTATCCTACAAAATTTTCCAATTTTACTTTTTATGAAATAATGTCATGCAACTTATGGTTTAGAGGTCAAATTGTTTATTTAATATTTTTAAATAAATATATATTTTTTTCAAGCGGCCATGATATACAACCTTATATGCATGTATAGAGTTAGTTGAAGTGCGTCTTTTTCATTAGCGGCAGACAAAAAACTCAAAAAAGCCTAGGGATAGAAGTAAATCCATAGGTGACTCAATAAACGTCAAATAATAAAATTAATTTAGCATTTCATACAAAGCAATCACGATGTATTAATTATATTAATTATAATCGCACGGAATATTTAGTGATTATTTATTAAATTTTAATTGAACGAAATAAAGAAAAACTAGTTTATTAGTATAATATTATGATGATAGACGAGTCGCCAATGTCGAAACTTCAAACAAATGTCAGTACGTCAAAATTAATTCAAGCGCAGCATTTTGACAGAGCAGTGTTTAGTTTTAGTTTCGGATATTTATCGGCATTGTAAGTAAGGTTTATTAGTTTTTTTAGTTTTTATCAATAATTTCTAACGCTTTTAGCCAAAATTTTATCCCACACGAGTTATGAGTAAATAAAATAATTCTATTGCTTATCCTATTTATATCATGCCCTTGAAAAAAAAATTGTATATGTTATTTGGAGTAGAAGCTCTTTTTGTGCTTCGTACATGTAGCTGAGGCAGTTGCCTGCCTCAGCTACGCTTCGGCCGTCAATCTATGTACTCACCACAAAAAGAGTCACTTCTACTCCTTATAACATAATCTACTAATTAATATGTCGGAAAATTTTTTAAGGGGACGACAATTACATTTCACTGTCATATTATGACAGTGAGGCGTATTTGTCGCCTCCTGAAGAATTTTACGAATGTAGAATACAACATATTAGAACGTGGGTATCTGACATATTTGGAAATATTCTCAAAAGCTTCCTAGAAGCTCCATAAGAAACCTTCTAAGAACATTCCAAAAACGTATTCTTAAAATGTTCTTAGGATGCTTTTTAGGAAGGTTTTAAGAAGCTTTTAAGAATCTAATTGCATCATTAAAAGGGTATCTATTGAATGTTTTAAAAGTCCCTAAGAACATTCACAATATTTGTGTATAAATATTTAGTGTATTTATAATTTGGTTTAGAAGCTACTTACTTTAGAGGGAAACCCGTTGAGGTGGGATAATCGAATTCAGCGTCCAGGAAGATCATGTTGTACCTCATGGTTTTCTCGAAGTTTTGCAGGTTGTCTAACCCTTTAGCGAACTCACCGATGAGTTTGTCTATGATTTGTTCGGGCGACCATTTCTGCGCGTTGCCGTTGAGGTTCAAGAACAACATCTCCGACCCGAAAGCTCTCACGGAGAGATCCAAGTCGAGATCTTTATCCAGGGTGTTTTCTTTGATGGAAACTTCCTTGGCGATTTTCTGGATTTCCGCGGCGGAGACGTCGCGACGCGATCTCAAAGACTTTTCCAACTTTTTGCCGAGTTGGCTGAGGAGGTCGCTGGCGGGTTTTTGGTTGTTCTTCCACAACTCGTGCAGGGATTTCGATTTCAACACCCCTTTGGGGCCGAAGTAGTGCCCGATAAGGCGGTCCAAATTCTCCTGTCTGGTTTCGATTTCAAGGAAGTTCACGTTGTGACCGAAAACTTCGGCGGTGAGATTCATGCTTGTGGATCTGGGCCACCAGGAGTCTTGAGAGTAGATGACGTTAGCTTCTGAAGCGCCGGCTAGACCAAGGGTATCCCATGAGTAGGAGAATTCTCCGTTGTAAGACCACTTTCTGAAGTCCACGGGAAATCTTTGCGGCAAAGTGGAGAATGACAAGTGTTGTTTTTGCAGATCTTTGTCTGGGTTTGCGGAAGCCTTAATATTTCTGATGTGCGACACGATGAAACCCCCAACTTGGTAGCTAGGTTCAGTGTTCAAGAGGGTCTTAATAGCATTACCGATTTTAGCGTTTGGACAAGCAACAGCAGCGAGGTAAGCTTTGATTCTAATTTCGGAATCTTGTTGTATATCCTTGAGAATGTTCAAGGAAGTATCCCTCAAAACATCCTTGCAGGGGTCTGATAGGAACGTTTCCAAAGCGGTAACCCTCAACCTGGTCGAGGCAGTCTTATCTTTGGCGATATCAACGATCTTCTTCACGATTTTCTCGTTGATGTGGTGGAAGTTGCCCAAAGCTTTCAATACGGAGATCATCTCGGTTTCTTCGGCGCGATTGGCGGCTTTGTTGTCGCCCAACTTTTTGATCAGCATGTCGGTGATTTTGTTCACCGCGTCGACTTTGTCACACGAGTGCTGTCTGCAGTACTTTCCCACCAAGTTTCCAAGGCCTAGGTAGGTTTCGCGTTGTAGGTTGGGTTGGCTCAACAATTGGCTTGCAGTGTTCTATAATGTAAAAAGTTTGTTAGTTTGTTACTTATTCCCTAGTAGCAAATTTTTTCTGACCTATACTTTTTATGGTTTTATTCAAGGCGTTTGGTAACTTTAAACATTTCTCTGAAATCCGATTTTCAATTGAGTTTACCGTTTTCGAGATATTTACAAAAAAAAATCTCCTAATTACGTCACTAGGCTATTGACAACGTTGCCAGCTTTTTCTATGGTTGCCAGTGTGTTTAGTTTATGATTCTTACGATAGATGGCGCCACGTTATAATATTTTAGTTTTAAAACCACTTGATCTATAATTTTAGTTGAGAAGAAGAAGAAGAATTGATTTTTTGACGTTTCTTTTTTTCGGGTTGTGTTTTTTTTAAATTTAGATTATTGAAAATCAATGTTATTGTTATGTTATTTGTAATTGATATTAGATAAGTGATTTATTAATAACGGACTCCAAAGCAGAGGAATCTTGTGGAATGGTTGGTTACATTGAACATTGGAGCTTTTAAACAAATAAAGTAAGTACCTATAATTATAATCATATTTTGTCGAAAATGCATTTCATTAGTATAATGCCTAGTTCTTTATATTCTTTTAGATATATCTTGGACTCTAAAATATCAAACAGTAATATGATACCTCGTAATAAGGAAGATAGGTACTTAATGAATTTGGTGACCATCTTTCACTCAACTGACAGTGACAGTATTTGTACATAACCTCTTCGGGTATTTTCTGACATAACCGAATGAAATCATTAACAAGACAACTTGACAACAGGGTAATTTTCAACCAATAGAAATCTTAGAATGTTGGTCACATGGCGAGGTTTGTGACGTCATAAAAATTTATATTTTTTGTAAATATCTCGAAAACGGTAAACTCAATTGAAATTCTGATTTCACAGAAATGTTTAATATTACAAAACGCCTTGAATAAAACCATAAAAAGTATAGGTCAGAAAAAATTTAACTACCCCATTCCGGAAAAGTCTTGGCCCAGCATGGGGGACAGATTTTTGCTCAAGAATTGTACAAGAATTGTTCCAGATTCTTGGCCAAGATTATTGGGCAAGACTTGAGCCAGACTGTGGCCAGAATTTGACAAGAATTTGACCAGAAATCTGGTCTCATCGCTAAACTTTGGGACTATCCTATAGAGTAAAGGTTCTCATTCTACAGTAGTATCATTCACAATAATGTATACTAGTCGAGAAGTGAGTTCTCTGTAGGAAATGAGTATAGTTTTTTGTTTATGTGAAAATACGAATAAGAGCTTATTGGATTCGTCTTCTAGCTGAGAAAAAAATTGATTTTTTGAAAAATAAAAATTATATATCTAAAAATCAAAAATAAAAAAAAAGTGTGTGTCAGCTCTGACGCATAACTAGAGTTTACTCTTTATGAAAATAAAAGATGTTTATTTTTACGGGCACCTGGTTTTTTTTTAACATAGAAAATTAAAAACTTTAACTCTTTCAAAATTTGTTTCGTTTTTAATTCTATTGTTTACCAGATTTATGGATAAAAACCGAATTTACTGGAAAGAAATCGTGGAAAATTAATGTTTTTAGTAACATTCTTAACTTTTGAAGTTCAACAAAATTTTGTGTTGACCAAAAATCTTGAATTGAAAGTTCCTATTTAACGTGTAATCGTGTAAAAATTCTTGGCCAAGAATCTGGTCAAATTCTGGTCACAGAGTTGTCCAAGTCTGCCACCAGAATTTTGATCAAGAGTCTTGGTCAAGAATTGTCCGATTCTTTACAAAGTGCTTCTCCAAGTATCTTGACAAAGAATCTTGTCCAATTCCATTGCTACTAGGGTTAAAGAGTTGTTTTTTTGTTAGTACTTACCAAAGAGTTAAGGGTTGCGTGTCTGACCAAACTCAAACCGAGGTAAACCTTCTTCTGTTCCCATTCGTTGAACTCCTTGTTCTTCAATAACTCAACGGCAACTTCGATGGCATCGCCAGTTCCAGCCCTCAATAAAGCATCGAGGAAAATTTTTCTCGCTCCCTCTTTGTCGGAAAAACCGGCCCCCGACTTAACCTTACTGTAAGCGGAGAGAATATCGTCTTTATTGGAAACTCTGAGGATCTTGATGAGGTTGATAAACTCCTTAGCCGTATTATCCGAAACGGTAACATCGATGGTTTTGGCGACATCTTGCACGGCGGCTTGAATGTTGGCAAGACTGGACGTTCCTTTTTGCACGTTCACTGGATGAGGGTTGTCGAAAATAATCGACTTGGGTTTACTGGCGGTGGCTTTCACTGCCGCCTTGGAGGTTCCTGCCAGTTCCAATTTGCTGACGACTTGCGCTTTAGCTCCGTTTTTGCCCACGCTGAACGGCATGTAAAGGTAGTTCTCCACGATTTGCACGCTTTCTACGATACCGGCCTTAATCTTTTGCTTGGCGATGTAGTCTCCCGATAGAATTGGGGATGAGTGGATTTCGCTGTCTTTGTTGAAAGTCGTGGCCAAAAAGTCCTATGATGAAAGAAAAACAATACATAAGTACACTCACAGACAAAATAATCGATGAATTTCAATAGCAAATAACTTTTTTATTTGATGTCGGATTTAAACGAGTATTAAAGAATATTGTAGATACATTAAGGGAGAATCGCTCACATTTTAAAAATTACTAAAAAATACACGAACGTTTATAATATACGGGTTTAAACAAAAATATGTTTTTTACCATAAGTTTAAGACACTCTGTAAAGTGGCAAAACCGTATATTGTTCTAAATTAAGCTTTAATTATCAAGTCACATATATTTTTAACAGTTTTGTTTTTGGTTCACCTTAATATATTTATTTTTGTGGAAAATATGGATTATTTTAAAGAAACATTGCAAATTCCAATATTTTCCTGTATGAAGAACTAAGGTTGCTGTGGTCCATCCATAGCCTATGGAGGGTGACAGTGACAGTTTTGTTGAATCATCCCATTCTTGGACATGTCATATACAGGTTTCAAAAGGTATCAAATTGTTTTTTGTAAATTAATGTGTTAATTTTGAGGTGTCTTCTTACTTTTAAAAATGTCTCCGACTGATGTTGCTCTTTGTACTTCACTTCTTTTGACGTTTAAAACACTTGCCACGTAATACTGTGACCGTCCATCTTGGATTAAATTAATGGCTCTGGCAACATCAGTCGAAGACATATCCATTTTTTAAAGTAATAAGTCAACTCAAAATTTAAACATTAATTTGCAAAATAACAATTTGATAGCTTTTGAAAGCCGTGTATAACATATCCAAGTATGGGATGAATCAACAAAACTGTCACTGTCATCCTCCATAGGCTATGGACCATAGCAACCTTTGTTCTTCATACAGAAAAATATTGGAAATTGCAATGTTTTTTTAAAAAATCCATATTTTCCACAAAAATAAATATATCGAGGTGAACCAAAAACAAAACTGTTTAGAATAGATGTGACTTGATAAATAAAACTTAATTTAAAACAATATACGGTTTTGCCACTCTACAGAGTGTCTTAAATTTATGGTAAAAAACATATTTTTGTTTAAACCTATATATTATAAACGTACGTCTATTTTTTAGTAATTTTTTAAAATGTGAGCGATTGTCCATTAATTTATCTACAATATTCTTTAATATTTGTTTAAATCCGAAATCAAATAAAAAAGTTATTTGCTATTGAAATTCATCGAAAATTTGTGGGATCGATTATTTTGCCTGTGAGTGTATATAAGTCAAAAGTGTTACACACTGCAAGACAGTGAGTTATTAGTTTCATTTGATGTTGGTTCGCTTTTTCCAAGTAGCCCATTGACTTATCTAGAGGATTTACTCAAAGAAAATAGTTTTTGCTATGAGACTGAATACTTGAAGTCAGCATCAGCCTGCAAGCGGCAAAAGCCAAGTAAACGGTTTCTTCTATGAACAGCATTAAGAAACTACTTCATAAGAAGAATTTTCGATCAAAACGCTTACAGCTTAGATGCATTTGTTTCCAAATTAAATTATTGTATTATGAACCTTAGCTTATAATTGGTATACATATGGTAGATTTAGCAGTTAGATGTAGTTTCACTTCAAATGATTTCCCAGTTGATGTATGTTCTGATTTCTATACCTGATGAATATTATTTAGTTGATGTACTATGCTCCACATCTCAAAGTCCCACCACATGACCACGTACGGAACGCAGTATTTTGAAAATTTGGCATTTAAGGCTTTTCAGGTTATGTATCTGTCAAAGTATAGTCAACGAAAGAAATAATATTATGTTTAGGCGTTAAAAATGTATAAATCTTTATAACATTACAATAACAATGGATGGTTAAAGAATTTAAGAATATAAATACTGCATTTAATGAAATTCTAAAGTGTATGGTGCCAAATAAGTATTTTTTTGTGCATTTGGTCCAAATATCTGGTTTTCTCCATAAAATAATTTTAACTAAACAGCATTTATTAAAAAAAATCTAGCTTCTCTATTATGGAATAAGAATATGTGTATTAAAGGTTGGTTAATATATTATAACAAAAATATCATCTAATTTTGTAATTTTAAGGTTAGAAAAATTTATTTTGACTAAAATAAGTATTTTGGATTATTTAAAAGACTGTATAATATGGTATTTAAAAATGTGGTAGTTTTTTTTATCCAGCTTAAAGTGTACCTACAAAAAGTTTTGTCAATACAAATAGTTAAAAAGCTTCGACTGAACTTGATCTACATGGAAAAATCATTATAACTTTTAAAAATTTTAATAAATCACATGTCATGGGAGTATTAAATAATTTCACATTACAAGTTTCTCTAAAAATTGTTTGTTTTCTTATAATCTAAGTATGCCGAGAGGTATGCACAAGTTTTGTCATTAGAAGTATAAAAGCTTCAATTTAATTTGAACCATATTCAACAATTATTTAGTATACCTATATTTATTTATGACCATTTTAACACACTCTTCCAAATAATCCACTATTTTGGTCAAAATAGATATTTCTAACCTTAAAATACAAAATTAGATGATATTTTTTGTTCTAATACATTAACCTACCTTACAGATATTCTTATTTCATAATATAGTTATATATGTAACGGAACTCGTTGAGTGACAAGTTGGTTGCCTAAACAAGCTTGGGTGGAATCAAGGGCGGTGCCAGGTATTTCGGGGAAGTACCGAATGCGAAATGATGAGCAAGCAATGATGGCTTTTGCATCGTAATAGAAAGAGGGACAGGCATTCAGTTTTGGGTGTCTGACTTGGCACGACCAGTGGGATCACCTCCATTCTACGAGTTACCAAAATAGACATTAGTTTAGTGCTTAATAATTAGTTTATGTTAATACTTAGTTGAGTATAGTTAGTTTTGTATGTGTGTGCTAAAATAAACAATATAAACGTTAATAAATAAACATTGTGTGGTTAATATAAACAGTTATTAAGTATGGCAGACCTTGGAGAACAAGGGGATGCAACCCCGACATATAAGTTAGATTTTTTTTAATAAATGCTGTTTAGTTAAAACTATTTTATGGAGAAATGTAGACCCAATGCACAAAAATATCACTTATATTGCACCTTACACTTTGGAATTTCATTAAATGCAGTATTTATATTCCTAAATTCTTAAACCAACCATTGTTATTGTGATACTGAAAGTTTTATTAACTTTTAACGCTTAAACATAATCGGTAACACTATAAATATTATTTCTTTCATTGACTATACTTTGACAGATACATAACCTGAAAAGCCTTAAATGCCAAATTTTCAAAAGACTGCGTTCCGTACGTGGTCACGTGGTGGGACTTTGAGGTGTGGAGCATAGTACGTTCTGATTTCTACACCTGAGTCAAGCGTTCAAATCTTGTGCTGATAAATGTTATTCATTCTGCCTTATGTGTAGGTATTTGGGATAAGTAAAAATGAATATTGTATGCTCTCTACTTGAGGCGAGGATTCAAATTCGAAGATTAAGTGGAAGAAAACGTTTCAAGATTTGTTCAACAGGCATTCATTCATCACAACATTGAATAAAGTCTATAATTCCCACAAGGGTTCAACAGTACTTTAAGCACTTTGTGCTTTGTTTCGGTGTTGGTAGCACAGACAAAAACTTACTTGTTTGATGTTTTCTCTGTAAGCACATTTGTTCAAGTTCCTGGACTTCTGCACCAAAAGAACTCCCCCTTCGTTCGAAGAGGATACTTGTGTAGGACACAAACCGAACACGTCTGTTTCATGGGCATCCTTCAAGTTAACCAAGAAGGCCGAGGCAATGGCACGCTTGATGTTGAGGGAGGTCTGGGTGTCAGCAGCTTCAGCGCAGATGTGATCTTCTACCGAGCCGTCTTTGTTGTTGATGACCACTGGAAGGTTCAAGCCTTCGATGACGGTGGCCTTCTGCGAAGAAAAAATAGTGGTTTTCTCATGACCGTCTTATGGTCGATGGTTTAAAGTCTTACCTTGACTCCTCCAGAGATGATCTGCACGTTTTGCAGCTGCAAAACTTGCTGACACTCAGCTTGTTGGGTCAGCAAAACATTGGCTTTGACTTCAGTTGTTATCAGTTGTCCTTCAGCACTGGAAAGGCTGACATCGACTTTGCCGTGGTAGTTGTACTTGTAAGTGGTGCCAACTGCAAATTTCAGGGTATCCTGAGATTTGCCGCAACCGGATCTACATTGTTCTGAAAAAAAATTAGAAATAAGTATGGTGTCTTATAAGATACATTATTTTGATTTTCCTGATAGCACACTTTATTCTAAGAATGTTTTTTAAACCTTCCAGTGAGAATATTCTTAGGATCATGCTATATTTCTTCTAAAGAACATGCTTAAAAGACATATAGCATGATCCTAAGAATATTCTTACTGGCCTATAGGCAGGTTCTTAGAAGGTGCAAATTTTAGTGGTAAAAATTAGTTTACTCTAAACATATGCTTAGAATGTTAAGAAAGTAATTGCTATAGAATTTTTATTTAGGAATATTCCTGGTAAGCATATTTAGTTCAGTTACCTATATAATAGTAAAATATGCCATAAACTACGTATACCTATACTTAAGTACCTAATTAGTAATTACTATTAAATACTAAGTAAAAAACACAATCCAAAATATTTTTTTTATAGTTTTTTGTCAAATTAAAACAATATTCGATAACAAAAATACTTTTACTATGGGTATTTTATTTTATGTTTAAAATAAATATTTATTAATTTGTATACCGATTTTTTATTTCTGAATTAACATTTTTATGTATAATAATCCTAACTATCTTCAACTTCAATCTAATCTGACGTATCCCACAAAATTTTCCAATTTTACTTTATATTTATTTAATATTTTTAAATAAATATATTATTATGTCGCAAATACACTGTCATCATGAAGAATTTTACGAATGTAGAATACAACATATTAGAACGTGGGCATCTGACATATTTGGGAATATTCTCAAAAGCTTCCTAGAAGCTCCATATATTCTTATAAGAAACCTTCTAAGAACATTCCAAAAACGTATTCTCAAAATGTTCTTGGGATGCTTTTTAAGAAGCTTTTATGAATCTAATTGCATCATTAAAAGGGTATCTATTGAATATTTTAAAAGTCCCTAAGAACATTCTTAGCAATACCTAAGGGAAGCTTCTAAGAATATTCCATTATTCCGGGTCATATCTTCTTAGATTCTTAAAGTCAAATTTTGCTATCAGGACAGAGGATATGATGTAAAGTATATGTATGTATTATATAAAGTATCTATATTTGTATTAAAAATTTCAGGTTATGTTAAAAAAATGATCGATATGCTATTAAACTTTAATAATTTAGTAATTATTATTGGTATATGTTTAGTACAGCAATATTTAAATCTGGTTGATCAAAAAGTACACAAATGAATTAATGGCCCATTGGCAATTATTCCTCTAGGAAAAATATTCAACACAGCTTTTTTATCTTGGGCCCCCTGTATACAAACCAAAACATATTTTTTTTGTTAATTTCAAACAAGATTTATATTCCACCAAGTATATACATTTATAGCTTACATACACAAAGCTTTAATAATGTGTATACGTTTAATATTTGACTCAATTACATTAAATTGGATAATGGGGCCAAGTAACAAATTTAAAGACTGTATTGTAATAAAGTAATAAAATTTTACTTGGGAAAATATTCCTTAACAAGGTGTTAAAAATTTATTAATTACATAGATTGAATAAAGAAATTTGTAGAATATATACCGGGTGGACAATATGGACAATTATGTACAGGGCAGGGGCGTGCTGGGCCGCCGGGACACCGGGCGAATGCCCGGTGGCCTGCGCTACCATGGTGGTCTGCTGGACTTGTTATGGTATGCAAATAGGGTATACCAAACAAAAAGTTTTTTCAAGTTATATCACTAAACACTAAAATAAAGTAAAAAAAAGAAAGTTTTAATTGACTTCCGTAAAAAATCTAAAACACGTATTTTTTATGCTAACCCTTAACCAAGAAATTGCAGGTGGAAACCCTAAACCGTGGGGATATTTTGGATGCTAACGTAATTATTTTTCACTTTCTTTGAAAATCTAAACTGATCCAGGGCCACTTCGATAAATTGCAATTTTAGTAAATTTATAAATTATCGGAAGGGGGGATCAGCTCGGATTTATAGAGAAAGAGAAACATAATTACAAAAGCATCCAAAAAAGCCCCCTCTCGCAGTTTTTGTCTTGATTTATTTGTGATAATACTTTCCTTTAATATCAGTGTGAAGTGACGTAAATTTGGAAGCTTTTATGCTGATTGCTGTGGAGAGAAAGGTGCAAAACGGTTTAGATAGTGACTTAATAATTGAACTAGCTGAAAACAGTTCTTTGTTGCGAAGAGAGTTATCGGGACATTTTATTAGTCGAGGTATTTAATTGTGATGTATTTTTACAATTTATATAAAATTGGCTTGGGCCTGGACTGCTCTACCATCTAGTCCAGGCCTGCATTGATTCTGCCAGCACGCCCCTGGTACAGGGTGATCCCCTATAATGTCGCCCCCCTTTAACTTTTTTATTTTAAGTGTCCCAAAAAATTTAAAAGTGTGGTTATGTAGGACCTAAAAAATACTTTTGTTCTACGTAAAATAAAAATTGAAAAATTGATCAATATACAGGGAAAAACAAAAAGTTTATTTTTTTTCAATGGATCACCCTATATATGAATTTATTTTTCGATTCCTTGCAAAATTCTGAGCATAATTTATATAACAAACCATATACCTAAATTCAACTGTTTCTGAAATATTCGCATTCGAAATGTTATCATTAAATGTTTTTTTAAACTGTTAGAAATCAAGAAGCCTCAGGATACCAAAATTTGTATTGAAAATAAATTACTATAGTGACATTATGTCAATATGTCTTGTTAAATAAGTAAAAATGGCCTACTCAGACAGAGACAGACAAACTATTTTAACTTATTATCTTAAAAATAATTTAAATATTTGAGAAACGGTTGAATTTAGGTTTATGGTATGTTATATGAAATATGCTTAGAATTTTACAAGGAATTGAAAAATAAATACATATTTAGGGTGATCCATTGAAAAAAAATATACTTTTTGTTTTTCCCTGTATACTGATCAATTTTCCAATTTTTTTTATACGTAGAAAAAAAGTATTTTTTAGGTCCTATATAACCACACTTTTAAATTTTTTGGGACACTTAAAATAAAAAAGTTAAAGGGGGGCGACATTATAGGGGATCACCCTGTATCAAGCGAGCTTGCGAGCGAGTGTTTAATTTAATGAGTGCATAGAAAAATTGCGAATGAGTTGCATACTAAACTTTTTCTACTATTATCTAAAAATGATTTAAATTAAATTTTTGTACAAAGCGACATCTATAAAACAATAGAGTAACCATTCTTGGGAATCTGTGTTGTATGTACTGTTTAGATAAATTTCAAAAACTCTTTTGATAAGGAACGTATAAATATACAGAGGGTTTTATTGATACATAATTTTCAAAATTATCTCAAAAATTGGTAATATACTTGTCAACAAAATTTTTATCTATTTACTAAATAAGTTATCTGTTTGGCAAAGCAATTAAAAATAATATAATCAAAATTAAAGAAAAATAAAATAACTTTATCTTAGGTTAACAATGTAAATAATAAAAGTTCACAACTTTTAGATAAGTTTCTATTTACAGCAAATTTCTTATCTTGTAAAAAAAGTCGAAAATATCTACAGTTCACGGTTAAAGTCAACTACTATCTCAAGAATTTTGCAAATAATTCCACACAAGTTCAATGAATTAATTCATAAAAAATGTTAAATTTTTTGCACAATATACAAGGTGATTTTGAATAAGTAGGTAGATAACTAAATGATTTTCAAAAATAATTAAATAAAATTTGACTTGTGTCAAATCGTTAACCTCACTTTTTATCAATTTTAAATGTTATTATAGTCGCCTTCTCCCAATAAAACCCGATTGGTTCAAATTACAGCGAATATTGAAATCGGCCAATCACCGATGCCTTCCAACGTGAATAATGGGTTCATTTTCAAAATTTTTAAAATTAAAAAAAAACTTCAAAATTCACACAACATTTTTAAAACTTACAAAAGTCAATGTATAATAACATAAGTTCAATATTGTATATAAATTAAAAATATAAAAAGCCTCAATTTAATTTTTTTTCAGAAACTAAGTACGGTAAGTCAATTGTTTAATTAGGTTGAAAATTAAAAAACTTTATAATTGGAGTTAAAAATAAAAAAAACGAGTTTCGTGAAAAGACATACCGTGTGATTATATAAATATGACATAATGTCGAATTTGGATTCAGCAAAATACAGGGTGGTCCAAAATAAACCTTTAATAGTTTGTGAATTAATAAAAAACCTTAAAATAATAATAATTTTCTTAATAAAATTATATCAAAAATTAAACTATTTTCCCATATGACGTCTGGTTTGTTTTTTTTTTAAGAAAAATAAAAGGTACGCCAACGATATTGTTGAAACGTAAAATTGTAATTAATTCATTTATACCAACAAATCAAAAATGTTTATTTTGAAATAAACCAAGTTAAAAATATCAAAAAAATAATTTACAACAGAAACTTACAATTAAAAATTTGAACTTTTACACCTTTTTTCTGAAACGGTTTTGTTTTCGATATAAGTTTATTAAAAAAAATATGTAATATAACTTTCTCATTATTCTCATGTTAACACTAAAGTGATATTTTCAATTTGATATAAAATTTCATATAAATGTTTTTATTCTGCGAATTAAAAATGTCATAGTGGATATTTAAAAATTTAATTTAATTTTTATTCCAAACTGACATTTTTAATTTAGTAAATTTAAAATATCTGTTTCTCTTATTTGTATTTTTTAGTTAAAATTCTCATTTTAATTTTAATTTTTCAAAATATGCAGATATTTTTAATTGAATGTGATATTTTTAATTCAGATTGAAAGTTTGGACACCCCTGGTATTCAAAACTAATTCTGTCGCTAGATTGCGGCACAATCGCTGGGAAAAACAGGGGTGTCCAAACTCTCAATCAGTCGGAATTAAAATCACATTAAATAAAAAAATCTGTATTCAAAAAAAAATAAAAATTTCTTTAATGATATTTTTAATTTAGCGAATTAAAAATATGTGTTTAACTAAAAAATACAAATATAAGAAGTAGATATTTTAAATTTACTAAATTAAAAATATCAGAAAAGATTTTGTTTTAAAATTTTGCAATGATTTTGGAGTAAAAAAGCGATTTTATTCAGAATTTTTTGTTATATTATTATTTAAAATTCTAAAAACAAAACTTAAAAGACCGAGATATTTTCTTTAAAAGTAGACAATTAATTATTTTTTGATTTAAATATTAAAATTAAAATCAATAAAAACACTTAAAATCGCTTTTTCACAACAAGTATCCCTTAGTACACTTTACGTCACTGGTTTTAACACATACACTTCACTAAATAAATAAAAAAACAAAAAAATTTAAAAAAAAAATCCAAAAAAAATTACATACCTGATGCAGTGGTAGGGTTCGTTATCACAAAAACAATTGCTAGGGCTAGGCCCAACGTAGCTATGGGTCTTGCACGGCCCATGTCTCTGTCGCAACTGATTGGCGATTACCCCCAGCCATCTTTATATACCATCGCATCGAGTGACCCTTGACGATTTTCTGTCGATTTATCGTATCAACAAGTAAGAATGAAGTTTTCTTATCCGAGATACTTATGCTGAATCAGGACCAAAAATAAAGGAATTAAGTTGTAGGAACAAGAAGTTTTGGTTGGAATATAATTTTTTTTTAATTTCGGTATTGTACCATCCTGTATAACCATTGTTGGTCGATTGCATCACAGCATTTGGGAAGTAAGAAAAATACCAAAACCATTAAAAATTTAAAATTTCAAATACAATTTTTTAAAACTTCATCCAAGCCCCGTTTGTAAAAAAATAATTTTTTTCTCGTTTTTACTTTGAAATATTGAAGTATTATCTCTTACCTTGAAAAGGTTTTCAAATTTTTTGTATTGGAATCTTAGCAAAGCAAATTTGATTTTTTTTAAAAGAGTACATTTAAGACTTTTTGGTAGGCAATACACTCAGTCTTAAGAACAAGGAGATTAGATGGTGAAAGATTGTTCCTTGAATAATTCTGAACAAGGAACATGCAACAAACTTCCATTATTTTCAGAGGGGCCTAAGCAAAGACCACTTTTTTAAAGTGACATTTTGGTGAAAATTTGCGAAAACTAATCCTGAACCGATATTTACGTTCGTGACATGATTTCTTTATAATTTTGACCTCCTGATTGTTATTCAGTTGTCAAATTTAAGTTTCAGATAAAACCAAAATCACTAAGAATCAAAATTGGAAAACAATTCCCGGCTGTTAAATTGCCTACAAAAAAGCCTTAAATGTACTCTTTTGTAAAAAAAATCATATTTTCGTTGTCAAGATTCCAATTCCAAAAATTTGAAAATTGTTTCAAAGTAAGACATAATACTTCATTATTTCAAAGTAAAAACGAGAAAAAAATTATTTTTACAAACGGGGCTTGGATGAAGTTATTGAAATTTTTCACCGTTTAACATATCACCCTGTAGGAAATTTACTTGAAGAACCTTAAGCTTCATATATATATATCATGAATTGCCAGAGGATGGGGCTAAGAGACATCACAGACCAAAATAAAATCGTTCAAGAAACGAAAAAGTTATGTCGTTTTGAAAAAGAACGAACTTTTTGGTCGCGACATATTGAGTGGTGCGCAGTTTAGATAAAATGTTTTTGAAGACGTGATTGAAAAACGATTTGATTTGTCGTATTTTCAATGAATTTGTTCCTTACTTGTCACTTTACTTGTATACATGTATATATGCATATATGTATATAGGTAAATAATAAAATTAAAAGTTAGTTTTAGCGCAAATTATTATAATTATCCTATTTAATCTTTGCCTTTTAACCCCTCACTGATACACTTTATCATTTATTTCTTTTCTTTTTTTTTATAAAAACTTAAAAATATTGGTACATTTTGTGAAATGCTTATTCGAAGCGATGATGCAATAAAAAGTTTTACATTTTTCATTGTATTTAAGTTGGATAGAAGGTTTTATGTAAAAGCCGGATAATTTAGATACCCATAGTAAAAGTTTTTTGTTATTGAATATTGTTTTAATTTGACAAATAACTATAAAAAAATATTTTGGGTTGTGTTTTTTACTTAGTATTTAATACTAAGTATAGGTACCTTTATACGTAGATTGTGGTATATTTTACTATTATAATAGTATACATGTATACATAGGTACCTAACTGAACTGAATATGCTTGTTCCAGGAATATTCCTAAATGAACTTTCTATAGAAATTACTTTCTTAACATTCTAAGCATATGTTTAGAGTGGATTAATTTTTACCACTAAACTTTGCACCTTCTAAGAACCTGCCTATAGGCCTTAGGATTATGCTATATTTCTTTTAAGCATATTCTTTAGAAGAAATATAGCATGATCCTAAGAATATTTTCACTGGAAGGCTTAAAAACATTCTTAGAACATGACTAGAAGAAATATAGCATGATCCTAAGAATATTCTTACTGGAAGGTTTAAAAAACATTCTTAGAACATGACTAGAAGAAATATAGCATAATCCTAAGAATATTCCCACTGGAAGGTTTAAAAAACATTCTTAGAATAAACTGTGCTATCAGGGGGGTAATAAACTAAAAAAACTTTAAAAGCAAATAGGATTTTCTTTAATTATCAAGTTAACTAAAACCTGTATATTATTGATTAATTTAAAAAAGACATTAATATAAACAATTTCAAATTGCAATTTTAAGAAATTTCCCAAAACAAAACCATGTTTACTTGTTCCAAATTTTAACATTTTGTAGAAATTTTTCCAAGCACACTTCTTGGAATTAGTCTTATCAGTGTTAATTTTATTAATATTTACTGTTATTCAGTAATGATACTGAAATTGTTTAGTTTTACTTATTGAAAACATATTTTTAAAAATTGTACTTAAAGTCTCGATTAGGTAGAATGATCGAGCATAAATTTATGTTTTATGTTCTAAAAGATTTTCCAGATGTCTACAATATGGAAAATTTGTTTTGAAGTTTTATTAGTTAAACGGCATTGCAGGTATAAGTCGTATTTTACTTTACCGCTGTTAGCCAAATGTTGAATTTGGGATTTAGGATTTGGGTTTATCCCCAATGCAATGTCGCAAACGAGACCAGTGGCTGCCCATCAATTGTCAAAATATGTCTAAAAAATATCTAGTCTTAACCATTTTCAAACGTTAAATTAGAAAATAATATAACGTTAAGTAACTTTACCTTAAGTTTATAGCAACCTTTTGGTAAATTTAAAGGGTTATTTTTTATTTCATAATAACCATAAAAAATGTTAATGGTTGAATACAACTAATTGGTTAAAACACAAGTTTAAAAAAACGTTATTTACGTTACGTTACGTTCACCCTGTATAAGGATAATACAAGGATAATTAATCATTTCCCTTTCATATAAATATTTATTTACTAGATAAGAAATTATTAAGTCACCATTTTAATTATGACTTGTTTGTTAGATTTTGTTAAATTTATTTATTTATTTATTAAAAAAATATTGCTGTACATACTTTTTCGCTATTGCTAGGCGATTAAAAAGACATGTGCTGTAAAAATCTACGTACATTTATGACTATGATAAATAATACTTATTTATTAAAAAATTTTATTATGTTAAAACTTAAATTATCCATACTACATCAGGATGTATAAACTTTATTTACAAACTGTTTTCGTTCATCGTAAGTAACCAGTGGCGGAGAATTAAAAGGGTCTGCCCTGATAGCACAGTTTATTCTAAGAATGTTTTTTAAACCTTCCAGTGAGAATATTCTTGGATCATGCTATATTTCTTCTAGTCATGTTCTAAGAATGTTTTTAAACCTTCCAGTGAGAATATTCTTGGATCATGCTATATTTCTTCTACTCATGTTCTAAGAATGTTTTTTAAACCTTCCAGTGAGAATATTCTTAGGATCATGATATATTTCTTCTAAAGAACATGCTTAAAAGAAATATAGCATAATCCTAAGAATATTCTCACTGGCCTATAGGCAGGTTCTTAGAAGGTGCAAAGTTTAGTGGTAAAAATTAATCCACTATAAACATATGCTTAGAATGTTGAGAAAGTAATTGCTATAGAAAGTTCATTTAGGAATATTCCTGGAACATTCTGTTAAGCAAATTCAGTTCAGTTAGGTACTTATATAATAGTAAAATATACCATAATTTACGTGTAGTATTAAATACTAAGTAAAAAACACAACCCAAAATATTTTTTTATAGTTATTTGTCAAATTAAAACAATATTCGATAACAAAAATACTTTTACTATAGGTAGGTACCTAAATTATCCGGCTTTTACATAAAACCTTCTATCCAACTTAAATACTATGAAAAATGTTTTTTTTATGAAGAACTATTTGGTTTTTTCTTTTATGAAGAATAATTTTATAAGGAAATATTTTGTTTTTTTATATTTTATTTTATGTTAAAAATAAATATTTATTAATTTGTATACCAATTTTTTATTTCTAAATTAACATTTTTATGTATAATAATCCTAACTATCTTCAACTTCAATCTAATCTGACTTATCCCACAAAATTTTCCAATTTTACATTTTATGAAATAATGTCATACAACTTATGGTTTAGAGGTCAAATTGTTTATTAAATATTTTTTAATAAATATATATTAATATGTCGCAAATTTTTTTAAGGGGACGACAAATACATTTCACTGTCATATTATGACAGTGGGGCGTATTTGTCGCCTCCTGAAGAATTTTACGAATGTAGAATCCAACATATTAGAACGTGGGTATCTGATATATTTGGAAATATTCTCAAAAGCTTCCTAGAAGCTCCATAAGAAACCTTCTAAGAACATTCCAAAAACGTATTCTTAGGATGCTTTTTAGGAAGGTTTTTAGAAGCTTCTATGAATCTAATTGCATTATTAAAAGAGTATCTATTGAATGTTTTAAAAGTCCCTAAGAATATTCTTAGCAATAAGGGAAGGTTCTAAGAATATTCTATTATTCCGGGTCATATCTTCTTAGAAGATTCTTAGAATCAAATTTTGCTATCAGGGCGTACGTATACGTTTTACCCTTTCTTAAGATAAAAAATTTTATATACGCCACTGATAATTGCGAAATCAAAATATTCCAGAAAATAGTTTCGAAATTTGATAACTTATGATTTATTATGCAAAATTATCACTTTGTTCGGATATTTTTATTTTTTTAATCACACGTACAATATTCAAAATATATAAAATTACATTTTTAAAGCTTTTAAAAATGTACCAACCTGCAAAAACAAAACTCATTTTATTACATTTGATTTAAAAAACAGACAATTTTCGTACCCCAAAAAATACACGTTGATTGATATTTTTAACAAAAAATTTTTGTACAACACCCCGTATATTATTCAATTTTTGGATTCTTCTAAAAATTGTAGACATATTTTATGTACCTACAATGTCTTTAACCTATCTTCAACTGTTTCGGAAAATTATAAAATTAACATTAAAGAACAATAATAATTATTATTTGATTGG